TCACCAGTGAGTGATGATAGGTGAGGCTGAAGTCAAATCTGTTGGTACAATTTAATACGTGATTGAAACATGTTTTACATTACACTTGTTTTTGGTGCAAGATAAAATATAAAGTTTCCACTAAGTCCTAATAATAAGTATGATTTTTTATTTTTACCTGAGCAATTCGTAATGGTAGCCAATGTAGGTACACTCCGTTTCCTACTTTAATTCTTTTGTTTCGTATTGTTTTCAAATTCATTTAAAAGCAATATCAACTTAATTTTTTATGGCGTAAAGTTCAAATACGTTTGTGTCGGAGAAAGCGTTGATTGTTCTAGATCCGTCTGTATTGACAGCAATGCTTGTTAGTCACCAGATAGTGATGACTAATTTTATAATGAAACTAAAATGTAATTGTTTTTTAAGCGGCTTCAAATCAAAAGGAAGAGTACGTCAATTAGCCTTTGTTTTGTATAGGAAGCAATATTTTGCCAATTGTATGTGGATTTTGACAACTGTTTCTATGGTAGGTATGTTCCTTGCGTTAATAAGATCTAGAGTTCAATTCTCGGTCGAGTTAATTTGACAAACGCAGTTCCTTGTTTGAGATATTATGCTATAATTTTTTATTATAATTATGATTTTTTCCAAATAATAATAGATTATTTAATTATTATTGGTAACATTGGCCCCTTATGGGGAGGCTTACGTTCAGCAGACAGTTAACGACTTATATGATGATGATGAAATTTTTATGATTTCTGTTTTTTGTTTAAATGAGTACAGTCGGTATATAATATATGTATATTAATTCTTATTAACCCTCAACACTAGAATGAGACATGATTTTTTTTTGATGGGTGAAAATGGTATGGTAACCCCGCCTGCGCTAACGGGATACGCTGGCGGAGCACCAGTGAATGGTGATCGATGAGAATGAAAAGAGGCCAGTTAGCCCATCATGATGAATTCATCAGGAATTAACCATGATAGTTTCCAGGGAGAACCGCGAGGAGATCGACCTGGTTGGATATATTGCTAGCAATGGGATTCTCAGTCTCCATTACTAACAATCCCTTTCCCCCCGAATGAGACATGTTGTGGCACGGATTATAATATATAGAAATACTCTATAGAAAACTCCTATTAAAATATATAATTTCCATTTGACTCTGTATTGACCTATAATATCCAATTACTTAACGAGATAGAATCGTTTGTCTGTGTCCGATTATCAATCTGTAGTTTTAATAAATGATACTGGAGTGGTAACTCCGCCTGCGCTAAAGCTATATATACTGGCGGGGCATCAGTGAGGTGGATAATAGAAAAGCAGGTCAATTAGCCCATCATGGTTTATACACCTGGAATTCAGCACGATTCCTTCCAGGGAAAACCGCATGGAGGTCGACCTGACAGGGTGTATTGCTAGCAATGGGACTGGTAGCCCGCATTACTAACAATCCCTTCTCCCAACATTGGCGTATTTAACATTGTTTTTCAGCGGGAGGCTGGCGGGGGAAGTTTGTTAATCTTTCATGCATAAACTTTTGAACAGATTTCAATCAAATTTGGTATACGGGTAGGTTATATTCTAACTTAGCACATAGGATGCTTTATGCATTGATTTACGCGGGTAGAGTTCTAGGACATAGCTAGTATGACTTAATTGATGATCTCATGTATATGGCAGTGTAATTATTTCAAAAAGGAAAAATTTCACATAGTTTCACAATCATAGTGTATTTCAGTAACTACTAAGTATGATGTAGAATGAAGCACTCGTTAGTAATAATAAGTATGTCAAAGAATTCCAGTATTAAATTAGGTACTTATCTACTAACTTGATATATAGTTCATTTGTAACATGCCGGATCAGAAGTGACCTATTTACTTTTTATTGGTATACTTAAATAAGCGTAAGTTACTTAATTACTTATACTTAATTAATTAAGTCCACCGAATGATTGCGTCATTTAATTTATTAAATGGATAGATACATGTATGCATATAGGCAAAAATGATAAGGCCACATCTACAAATTAGTACCTAAATATAATATAAATAGAGTAACACGTCTGTATCCAATTAATAATGATATAGTGTTTATGTATTTTCATATATTTTACAGTTCTGCATTTTTTTATGCAACTTAGAATGGCAAACAGGCTGACGGCCCATCTGATGTAAAGTGGTAATCGTCGTCTATAGACATGAGCAGTACCATGAACATAACGGAGTATACTGTTTTGCCCATGATACCCCCCGTGCGTTGCCATTCCTGAGGACTCAGGTGTTATTCCTTTGTACCCTGTAAATTCACTGCCATATTCCACCCTTCAAACCGAAACACAGCCATGCAAACATAACTCAATTTCTTTTTCGGTAGTGGCTATAGAAAGCGCTTGCTTCCATGATCAAGGTAATTCCTATCCTTACTTTCATGAACGGTCACATCTGAGTCATAGAATGGGGGTCAAGTCAACTTGAGAGAGGGGCCAAGTGTGACTGTACTGTATATATACCTACTATGCTTTCATATTGGGACTTTTTTAATGGATGATAATGGAATGCTAACCCCACCCGCGCAGGGATGATAGGTAAGGTTGAAGCAGGTCAGTTAGCCCATCGTGACGAATTCAAAGATAAATTTGTCACGATAATTTCCAGGGGGAATCGCGTGGAGTTCGACCTGATAGGATATATTGATAGCAATGGGGACTAACATCCCCATAACTAACAGTCTCTTCCTCCCATCATATCGGGACTACAGTATAGGCAATAATAACTAAGTTGTTGTCGACAGACTTTGTTGCTTTATAACAAATAGTAGGCTACTACCATATACTACTTGAGTCACATAAAACCTCAATACCATATGTGTATTATAAATACACAGTAAGCTAGGTGTATATAAATGGAATTGAAATATAATAAGCATTTGTTATACGACCTTATTAGGTGGTATCGTGGATGGAATATAGTAGATTGAAGATTATCTCTCACGTAAAAACTATTGTGTACTCGTACATATTATACTAAGCCTATTCGAGCTATTCGAGCTGGTGTTTCGTGAAGGAAGCGGAAGGGATTCGTTGGAGCCGCTCTGATTGTCATTACGATCACAGCGGCTGACTGAGGTGCATACTGATCAGTTGGTGTTTAAACAACGGTAGCTTTTTGGTTAAATATCTAGCGCTCGCCAAATGCGTTTTGGCGCTTCCTACCGGATGGCTGTTTGGCAAATTTTCATTGGCTCATTATGTTTGGCAGTTTGTGACTTGATCACTACATAACGGCTGAATGTATTTAAATGAAATTTTGGTACATAGATAGACCACACACGCAGTAATCATTGATAAGAATTATATTTTATGTTTCAATGGTCGCTAGAATTTTAATTGTTATAATTAAACTTTTCTCTGTCTCTTTTTATTTGGAATAGTATTGTATAATGGTCAATACTTTATGGGGGGGGGACCTGGTGTCTAAGATACAAGTTATGACTTAGTTTAGGCTCCAGATCTCCCACAAATTACGATACTTTTATTTTGTATAAAGTAAATTGTAATATTATTATACATTGTAATTTGTGGAGATGAATAAACTAATTTTTATTATTTTATTATTATTATTAATGCATAACGAATGAATGTTAATAAATACGCCTGTATTTATACAATCTACACCATTGTCCACGAATTACTAATTAACACACGGTTGTATATTAAGATATGAAGACCGCAGCACGTAAATTAATCACTGTGGTCGTATAATTGGCTACTTGAACATCGTCATCATTACTTCAGCCTTTATGCATTGCTGGACGTAGGCTTTCTCAAATGTCTTTCACCATGTGAAATAGAAATACATTTCACATGGTGAAAGACATTTGAGAATACATATAAATACATAGAAATACATTCAAGTGAAAGTACCTAGTTTAAACAATAAAATAGAAAATACAAATCGACAAATAACTTTAAAGTTTTAATTTTAAAAAAGAATACTCAGTAAGTAGGTATTGAGCATATTATGATTATCTTTAACTATGATTTATTAAATACGCACTATTTTTTTTTCTTTTTTTTTTAATGGTAACCTCGCCTGCGCTATCGGTATACGCTGGCGGGGCACCAGCGAAAGATGACAGGTGTGAAATAAAAGTATGCCAGTTAGCTCATCGTGACAAATTACACAAGAATTAACCAAGATGATTTCCAGGGTTCCCCTGGAGTACATGAGATTCTTATTACTAACAATTCCTTTTTTCCCGGGGGGAAAGCGATGGGGTCTAACAGCTCCAATGCTAGCAATGTTACTAATCAGGTCGACCTCCATGTGGTTTCCCCTTGAAACCATAGTGGTTACTTCTCATGGAATTCTTCACGATGGGCTAACTGATCTGCTTTTATCGTCATCTATCATCTCTCACTGGTGCCCCGCCAGCGTATACCGTTAGCGCAGGCGGGGTTACTATTGCATTATCACCCATTACTAACAATCCTATTCCCCCCAATACGTATTGTTATCTTTTTAAATACATAAATAAAGCCAATATAAATAATTATAATGCATGATAACTCCCGATGGTTACTGTTCAACAATTCATCCTTTCCTTTAGAACTACGTTATAATTCAGAACATAATGTAGTTAAAATACATCCTACCGTTTAATCTCACAATGTATATGCTGAATCACATATCTTTTTGTTTTCAAACTAATTTGATATTTATGATATGTATGACAAATGTTGAGTCGTATTGCTCATTGAATAAACATTAGAAATCAAGGTCCGTCGATCGTTTGCGATTGAGACTGTGAGGGCTGAGGCCCTTCAAAAGTATCAAATCGACTGATAAATTAATTCGATTCGATTTTCTGTTTTTTTTTTCTTTTTTTTTTTGTTAATGAGTTACATGATTATGTTACCAATTGTTAAACACTTTTCAAACTTCTCAATTCGTGAAATACAATGTAAATAAATAAGTCTGATTGTAACTCTGTTTGTCCACAGTCCGGCAAGTACGGGGAGGGGTACATTGGCTCGTCGCGAGGTGTGGCAGTCCACGTCCGTGCCAAAGGCCCTGGCGGGGAGCGTGACCACTCAGGCTGTACGTGGCCACTATTGTCCGTGGACGCGCCCAACGATCCCCTCCCGGAGGAGCCCTGGATCGCTGTTATCAGAAGGGGCAACTGTAACTTTGAAATTAAGGTACGTGTTACTTTTAAAGGGGACTTTCTAAACATACCTCCTATTCGTTTTTTTGTCTTATGTTTTGGTTTGGAGTATGGAATATGGTACTGAAATGACAAGGTATGGATACCTCCATACAACTTAGGTCGGGGGAAGGGATTATTGGTTATAGGGATGTTAGTCCCCATTGCTAACAACAACATAGGGGATACTCTGTCAGGTCGACCTCCACGTCCCCCTGGAAACCATTGTGCTGAATTCCAAAAGTATTCATCACGAAGGGGTAACTGACCTTCCTTTTCATTCTCACGTATCATCCCTCACTGGTGCCCCGCCAGCGTATACCGTTAACGCAGGCGGGGTTACCATTCCATTACCATCCATAAAAAAAACCGACCTGCCTTCATACTTAGCATAGGCGGGGTGTTTACATAATGTCGCGATTGGGGCCGTTGTTTTATTTTTATGCAGCAAAGTCTTAATTCTACTGAGTATTCATTTTAATGTGCCAACTGATCTGCGGGTCTACCATGAAATGAAATTCCGAAATTTCGGACTTAATTTCGTGTTTTTGTTTATACCAAAATCGGACCAATAAATGGAGTTTAACATTTCGTTCGTCGTACATCCTATCGTAAAAGTCCAAAGGAACAATATTTTAACATTTTTTATATTTCCAAACGGTATGTATTATGTAATTTTAACATCAAATTTCTGTTTCGTTTGGCTCCGAAATTTCGGAAAACATTTCATGGTAGGCCCTCAGATTCATCTTCGCTATCCTTTATCACCCACCAAATATGCACCAGCATAAAACATTAGCGGGGTGACCATTACATTTTCATATTTTAAAAAATTCAAATTAAATGCAAATTCAAATCATTTTTATTCCAATAGACTTAGTTAATAAAAAGTACCATAAAGTATCCAATAAATTCTAAATAACCAACAATAGCACAATAAAAGCGTGTAATAGATAAATGTGTATTATTGTTTTATGATATTGGAAATTATTGTTGGCATTCCATTGGTATCAACGATTGACCGGTTGATAAAGAGACTAATAATGATGATAGGTATTGTTCAGCAATAATAAATGCCAACAGTATTGGATACACAAAACTTGCTTTCATATTGGTAAATATCAGTAGCATGCCATTTGGAATTTAAGGAAAATAAAAGCCATGTTCAAAGATCAAATCATGCTTTTACATTTGTATTATTAATGTCTACTGACCATACATAGATACTAGATACGAATAGATGACTTCAGTGCCTTGTTTTAAATGAGGGAAAAGGACTTTATAAAAGTTGTTTGTTTAGGTACTTCTGTCCCCCTCGTGTTTGTGTGGAGTAGCAGTGCTTTTATAACTGTTTAAGTTTGAAGAGTAATGGTGATGGAGATATAACACTATAGTCATTTAGAAAAGCAACATATGATGGTCACCGTAGGCATTTAAATGCATACATGTCGGTGTACAATAATCTTAATTGCATTAAAAATTTAACAGTATGTGTTCCGCTAGCTATGATGTTATATAAGCAATTTATTGATAGCAACCTGAAATAAACCTACACTGAATGTTCAAGAATGCCATTTCTAAGATCTAAGACATGTCTCAGTTCCCTGTTATTGCGCTGCAATATCCTATTCTCTAAACCATACACTATATATATATATATATATATATATATATATATATATATATATATATATATATATATATATATATATATATATATATATATATATATATATATATATATATATATTAATACAAAGAGACAAGTGACGGTTATTTCGTGATTGCGGATACATAATAATTTTATAAGTTAAAATAAACCTCACTGAACCTGTTTATACTTTTCTTGTGCGGATAACATAAACAAGTCAAATCTGGTATTATGTTATTCTGTGTTAAACAAAAAAAAAATCCTCGATAGTGTAATATAATAATTTTTTTTTTACTTAGCATTTTTAGTAAACAAACAGTCTTAACCGTCTTCGTGTTTTTCTAATGTAATTAATCATTTTATAAGATATAAATAACCATAAGGTATAAAAATAATTCATATAATGTTTTTATATAATTAAATATTCATTTTGTTTGTGTATAATTTGTTCATCTTTGAAGGGAATAACAAGTTTTCATTTATATATTATATATATAATTAAAAAATCAGTTTTATAAGAAAAATATAAATATAGCTTTGAAATAGTAGAGACGGAGTTGTCATTTCACTTTCATTCTGTAAATAATTAAACTGCACTGTGTTTGATAAAATTTCTGTGATACCAATCTACAATATATACTTTCAGATAAAAAAAAATCATTTTCTAAATCGGTTTAGAATTGACTAAGTTATGAGGTAACAAACATTAAGAAAATATATAACCGAATCGAGAACCTCTTTCGTTTTAAAGTCGGTTGAAAAAGAAGATCCCGTTTATAAAAAACCCCGTCTTTCAAATGTTAAATTGTTACCGGCCAGATACATATAACAGGGGTAGGCATGTCTCGCAGGCTTTGTCGAGTTTTTGAAATTAAAGATTTTTTGAGAATTGAATCAAGAATGATTCAATTCAATATAGAAATATTGCTAGAGCCAATCTCAATGTTTCAGGTTCAAAATGCTTGGCGGGCGAACGCAAGCGCCGTATTGGTGTACAACGACAGAGACACCACACTCCTTGAGAAGATGAAGCTATCATCTGACAACGGACGTGAGTACTTTATTAAAACTATACAAGAATATACTGTGACTAGCAACCTATCCTGGTTTCGCTTGGGTCTACTACTCGTAGCATATATGCTTACATTTTTTGCATCATGTTTGTTGCGTCAAGTATGAATTAGATGGTTATAGTAACATATCGTTAAATGATAGACATATGTTATTGTGAACTCTTTTGTAGACCTATAAAAGAGAAACAATCCCACCATACACTGTTTTGTTATATCTCAAACGGATTAAGTAGTGTTTTCGATTAAAGCTCTTAGTCAATTTGATTTCTTTCTATATCTTGAATAGTTATCATCATATTTCCACAAATTAACACAAAATAATATTAGGGTTTATGTATATAATGCATGCATATGTATGCATGTATTATATACATTAAATTTCATTGTGTAGTTTAAAAGATTAAAGTGTACAGACGATGGAAAGAAACTTTGTTGTAAGAAAGTATTAAGAAATATGGTTGTTATATTTATAAAATAAAAATTGTGAATCAACTGCCTTTTGGGTAAGCCAGTTTAAATTTAGACCTTAACGTCACTTCATCAGGTGAAGTCCAAGCGCGTATCTATCGTGTAGGTAATAAAAAAATACGATACGGTTATTGTAACTTTTCCATTTCTCTGCATTTATTTCAATCAACTTCAAAAAGGAAAGGTCTTTCAATTTGGTTGTTTTTTTTATGTCTGTGACTCTGACATTTATAAATCGATTTGGAAAATGCTTTTTTTCAAAGGATATACTTTTAGATTGGTCCCATGGAAATTTTATAAAAATCGGTTCAGCAATAACTGGTTTTGCGACGATTGAACTCAGTTTTTTATGTGTTTCATAAAAAACTGAGTTCAACTTTTATTCTTTCTTGGGTTTGGCTTCGCGCGGGTAGATAGAATTTTCGAAAAAATATAGTTTATGTCACTCGCTGATAATGCACGTTTCAATATTTGAAATAATTTTTACTCTAATACTAATTTTGAAGTTTATTCATTACAAATAAACAAACAATTTAATCTTTCATCTTATAATATTAGTATACATATAAAAACATTATAAAATTGTTAATGATATGTAAAAGAGGAACTATTTTATTCACATAATAACAAGGGTAATATATCGAAGGCACAGGGCGACATAAGCGGCGAGAAATGTCATTTAATAATATTCAAGGTGATCATCTTCTGGTCACAATTACTTTGCCTTCCTGTATGTATCAATAATATTTAATTGTGCACTACAAAAGGAATAATGTACTCGTACAATTCACTGTCATTACTGCAATATATGGAATTATCTTATTATATTGCATATTAGCATTGGTTTTTATATTTTAGATATTGCATAGGTTTATATCTAAATTGTGTAATTATGTATGGTAAGGCATAAATTTTAAAGGAAGGAAAAATTACTCGGAATTCTCTGATATTATTCAGGAAAGCGTATCTCTCTCCAGGGAACGGAGCCGAATTTATTTGCAATATTTCTTTGATACGATTCTTTACTTCTATGATTGTTTATTATTTTAAACCCAAAAAATAGCGATCAAATCGTGATAAAATAATTATGGGACTAACACAGGACTTAACCAAATCATTTGTAAAAATATTTATTAAAAACCTACTAATATTCTAAATGTAAAAGTTTGTATAAGTGTCTGTATATTCGGATGTTTATTACTCAATAACGCTCAAATGGCTGCAAATTTAATGCAATTTGGTGCATGGGTAGCCAATATCCTAACTTAACACGTAAGGTACTTTGTGTACTGATTCACGCGGCTAGTCTTGTCATACAACTTGTTAGTTAATTGGCGTATTTATCACGTGTTTTGCTGTGTTTTTTTTATATACCGTATTCTGGCGTAGAAAGGGCAACCCCTTCCATTCCCGTGAGTGTCGTAATCAGCAGTTAAGGTAACTTAATGGTCGAGGAATGGACAGCAGCGTCTCTATTAAAACATTAGCAAAAGCTCACTGCGGTTGCCAATCCGCCTGCCAAACGTGGCAACTACTGGTAAAACTCTCCTTATGAGGTAACGTAACTTAACATAAATATGTTGTATGTACATACAAATTGTGCATATAAATATATCGTCGAGTTAAGAACAAACACACTTTCGTACAAACCGTGCGGTCACGTTGTCTATTTAGTAAACTTAAAGGTCAGGTTATTATTGTTAAGGTTTCGTAGGCACTTGAAAAGATAAAAGTAGGGACGGTTAATAGGATAATTTCTACTGGCTCGCTGGGTGCGGAGGGCGGCCGTCATACCCCCCTAATGAGATCAAACCAACTGAGTTTCACGGTCAAGGTTGTTCAACACGTGTCGGTTATATTAGTACCATGCTAAGTTTGTACGGACACGACTTTCATTTTCAATAACATTATGAGAACTTTTCATTTATGCGTAAAAATAAACGTAAAACATCGAATTTTCAGACTACCATTTGATTAAACCCTGTGTAATAAAAGAGCAAGTTTATTTTCGACTTGTCTCTTATACACCATAACTTGTATAATTGTTATTTATATAATATATTTATATAATTGTTATTTTTTTTTTCAGTTAAATTCATATACTTTAAAGATGCTGTTACAAACTGTTCACAATCAATTATATCACACTATCTGACTAGGCAGATTTCGATTTGCCTTCCACAAGTCATGCGAGAGATAGATATATATTTCGGTAAATAAAGACTAAGTGGAGCAAGCAATATACATTTACAAGATTTCATTAAAATCGATTGAGCAATATTAGAAATTAACCTGAACAAAATTTTTTTTATTTGTAAAGAAAGTAGTCTATGTTCTTTCTTACCTCAAATACCAGTATACCTTGTTTGCATTATACAATATAAGGAATAAGCAAGACAATTATGACGATTGGTTAAGCCGTTAAAGCGCCAAGGGGTCACAAACAAGCACAATTTCACATTTATAATATTAGTAAACATTCAGGGCAATTAAATATCGGAGAAGTAAAACTAGTAAATTGCCTCGTATATTAATAAATCGCGAACGATTAAATTTCACCAATGATAATCAGTTCCGGGTTGCTGTTTGACCTTTCTTCATAATGTCGCCAATTCGATAAATAATTCCGATGGGGCCCCTTGCGTCGCCCATCGTCTCTGTGTAAACATCGAATCTATTAATTCCGCGTTTATATATAGACAAAATACGTCTAGTATCTATCCGTTAATTAGTTCCGGGCATTGTATGTAGGTAAGTATAGACAGGTGCAAGTGATTATCAAACAATCATATTACAAGAACGATAATACCGCAACCTTGTTACGTTCGAACTTCAAAACTTGGTACTAAATTCTTTTTGAATGATATCATAGAAATCATAGAATTATATTATTTTTAATTATAATAAAATACGGTGCATAAAAATATTATGTTCCAGATATGAAGTGAGATAATTATTATTTTCTACTGAATGGACAGATAAATTTTTCGAAAATAATATATAGCCTGTTTATCCGATGATAATGTAGTTTTCTACAAGTGAAAGAATTTTTAAAATCGTTGAGTATTTTTTGAGTATATCCATTACAAACTTAAAAAAAAGATTAATCATCTTTACAATATTAAATTTAGATAAATTTCGATAACTCGGCATTGGAGTAAAAATGTTAATTTATGCGTTAAAGCAATTTACCATAGTATAAGCAAACGAAGTTGAATGTCGTATCACAACACTCAGTAATTGGCGCAGAGAACAAATCGTCAGAATAGTATAGGCCTGCGTGGGCCTGTCAGCTGCGCCTGCGCACCTTATCTTTAAGCAATCGACGTATTCAATCCTTTTATGTACACTGATGTATATGTAAACTATGAATACAGCTGTATGTATCTGTACAGAAACATTTGAAGGTTATACAATGATATTATGTACTCTGTTATTGCATTACAAAACGCCACCTAGTGCCAAACTAAGCAGAGCTTTTATTATGGATAAATTGTTAGATTTTTTTGTAAATACATAATATGTATATATAGAATTAAATAATTAGAATAGAAAATCCAGACCAAAACCAACAGACGTACCCATTGATACGAATATTTTTATGGCGAGGGGTTCAAACCCACGACCATAGGGAGATGAGGTGAGACAGTCTACGAGTATTAACCGAGTGAACGTCCATTTGATAGGTTCTTGCTAGCAATGGGGCGGTTAGTCCCAGGTACAAGATACTAGAATAAAAATTAATTTAGATTAAAAGAACAACGTTGTTTTGAACGTTCCTTAAAAATTTAAGAAGTAGGGAAACAACAAAGATTTGTATGTTGATCGGTTCATACAATTTCTCAATTCGTTGGTAATAGTGTGTCTTATCAAATCGTACAAAGACTCGCTCGCTTAGTTTAAATCTACATTAACAATGCTGATTGGAGATCAAATTAAGTCATATAATAGTTGATGTAGGTTATTATTTTTATTAAATCTTATTTGCATCCACTACTAACATTTTCATTATATTATAAAATGTATGTGTTTATATGTACTACTTATATTGCTATATTTCTATACAAAATTTAAAAAAATATTCTAGCAAGTACTCATACTAGCTGTTTGGCATTGCCCGCGTGTGTCAGTATATAATTCTATGTGTTAAGTTAGGAAAGACCTATCTGTGTACCTAATTTCATTCAAATCTATTCAGCTCTTTATGTGTGATTAAGTAACGTACATCCAAACGTCTTTACAAACTTTTACATTTATAATGTTAATAAGATTATTATAAAATCATCAATTAATCAAGTAGACATAATAATAATAATATATAATCTATGCAATAAGCACAGGTAATCTACATTTCGTATCTAATTTCATAGTATACTTAAGTTTTTTTTTGTTCAAGTTAGTTTAAGTAAACTACACGTGTACACTCGGAATATAATTATGCATACATATATTATATATCTATCACGCATGTCTTCCATTTTATTTTATTGGATGATATACGCTGGCACTAGTAAAGGATGATAGGTGAGAATGTAAAGACAGGTCAGTTAGCTCATTGTGATGAATATACCTGAAATTTCGCACGATGGTTTCCAGGGAGACCATGTGGAGGTGACTTGACAGGGTATATCTTTATTCTTTATTGTACGCGAAACATAATGTTAAGCACCATTCATTTTAAACATAGTGTACAAAGGCGAGCTTATCTCTAATAAGATATTTTTTCCAGTAAATCTTTTCATGTGAATTGGATGTTATTTTAAAACATAAAAATAAGCAGTCATACGATTTGCGTACATTGTATAAACACATTCATACACACACAATGAATAATACAAACTACACATATAATCGTATACATACATATATACACAAATGAACACATACACATATACATAATACGTCAGCATAGTGATAAGTGATGCTCTCTCAGTCGATTTCGGATGGCAGACTATTCTTATATTGCTAGCAATTGGACTGATAGTCCGCATTACTAACAATCCCTTCCCCCCACTCCCTAGCCTGTCTTCCTTTTAGTACCCTATTGTAGAAAATAATTATCTTGTTGTATTATTTACCTTGATCAATTGTAATTTAGTTTTAATACTAAAAATCTGATATATTGTTGCAGGCAATATAAGCGCCGTGTTCACATACAAATGGAAGGGAGAAGAGATCACGCGGCTCATCGACAATGGCACACGAGTTATGATAGGTATCACGAAGGGACGCACTTTCGCCAACGTTGGAAACAACATAAACAAGTTAGTACCGCTTTTTACTGTCTGCCGACCTTTTTGTGTGACTCCCGCTTTCCAGTGGCACAATGCATACAATGTGCTTTTTATTGCCATAATAAGTGTAGTAATAAAAACAGGGCCTTTTCTTTGTATCACTATCAGAGGCTGGTGCTTTTAATATCAAATATATATATCTAAAAGCAACATACTCGCCCTAAAGAAAATTTCTCATTGAAGTACATCCGAAATGAGGGGGTGAGGGGGTGCGTGTATGTGTGCCACCTACTAAATTTCATAAAAATATGTGAATGTGAATAGGACTTTATTTTCCGCGCTTAGCCTCTAATTTGGGCCGTTGTGCGTATGAGTCGTGGCTAGTACAGCCATTAAAATGTGTTCAATAATTATGAAAAAGTAACACACAACTAAACATATAGACAAAGAAGAGAATGAAAAATGTTCACTGTCACTCGAAGAGTACTCCCTTAGAACGATGGCAATAATTATAATTGAATTCTATACAAGAAATCCGCACAAAATTTCATGTTTTATATGCATTTACTCTTTATTGCACCAGTTAAAAAATAATACGAAAAACATATATTACACTTATATAACAAAATTACATGAAATAATATAAATAGGTATAGGGAGGGTTTTTTTTTTTTTTGATGAGTGATAATGGTATGGTAGCCCCGCCTGCGCTAACGGGATACGCTGGCGGAGCACCAGTGAAGGGTGATAGATGACAATGAAAACAGGTCAGTTAGCCCATCATGATGAATTTATCAGGAATTAACCATGATAGTTTCCAGGGAGAACCGCGAGGAGGTCGACCTGTTTGGGTATATTGCTAGCAAAAGGATTCTCAGTCTCCATTACTAACAATCGCTTTCCCCCCTGTATAGGGGGGGTAAAGAGGTTTCTTCAGGGTTGGCAACGGTAACCAAATGGTAACCGTATACTTGTTTGTATCTAAAAGTAATGTATATTAGTATTAAATAATATTCGAAATAATTTGCGTGCCACGAGAGGCAAAACATAGTTGTATCTAAACTTCTATATGATTTATCTGCCTCTGTTTTTGGGAGATAAATTATTTGATATACCTAGTAAAAAAAGGCAGTCTTATCTCTAGCAATCTGTTCTATCTTTGAGTGGAGATGATTAAAAAAACGCTCCCATTATATATATATATATATATATATATATATATATATATATATATATATATATATATATATATATATATATATATATATATATATATATATATATATGAAAATACTTCAAATTTCTATAATGTTGGTGCAATAAAGTGTTAAATAAATAGATATGTATAATTTTGATTCTTGATTTTTACAAATGATGCAATGTACTATTTCAGGACGTCGGTTCTGTTCGTGTCGATCTCGTTCATCGTGCTGATGGTGATATCATTAGCGTGGCTGGTCTTCTACTACATTCAGCGCTTCCGATACATACACGCCAAGGACCGGCTCTCTGTTAGTATACATTTTTTTTTATAACTTGGAATAACAAAGTAATACACGACCCGCCTGATGGAATGTGGTATAGTGTGTTACTATTGAATTTAACTTTTTTTTTATCAATATGAAGTTTGTAATAGTCATTATATCTATATAGTTTTTTTGTAAATTCTTATTTGTAAATAAAATTGTGGAACAAAAAACCGACTTCAATTGTGGAAAAACAAATTATTTTTACATAAAATCTAAACTGTCTGGTAGTTTTTCTCTGGTAGAGATTTTGATGAAATTTCTATGGGACTAATCTGTAAGTATATTCTTTTAGATAAAAAAAAAATTCAAGTCGGTTTACAATTGATGGAGCTATGACGTAACAAAAATTAAAAGAAATTACAACCGAATCAAGAACCTTCTTTTTGAAAGTCTGTTGTAAGAAAGCAACAGCCAAAATTTTGCCCTTTCTTCTCAGTTAAAATTATTTGCATCCCAAATTAGTCGGTAGACTTACAAAAACTGATTATTCAAAAATAGTAGAATATAATATTATTTTGCATTCCAGAAACGGCTGTGCTGTGCTGCCAAGAAAGCGCTGTCCAAAATACCTGTAAAGAGTTTAAAGACTGATGATAGAGTGAGTACTGCCTTGTTACTATTGCATCCTTAAGTATAGAATAAGCAACTGCCCTCTCGCATTGTATATTTATTTGTTTTGAATGTCGAAATTGAACATATATCCGGTCTACCTACAGATACTATTTGAACACGTAGATATCACCAAAATATTTTTCAATAGCTACCTGGGGATGAGGATTTATAATACCTAAAGGGGAATTTAGATATCCTCTAAAGTAACCTCCATGCGGACCTCTTGAAAACTGTCGTAGTTAATTCCTGATTAATTTGTCCTATGGGCCACCCGACCTGACTTCATTCTCACCCGTTAACCCTTGCTGGTACGCTTTTCTCGTATGAGAAGCGCTAAAATGTCAAATATATACAAGAAAAGCTTCACCCACAACTTGGTTCGCGTAACCGGAATATGTTACCAGGATAATTCCAGAGTCCTCAGGAATGGCAACGCATCAGGAGCGAATCAGTATACTCTGTTATGTCCATGATACTGCTCATGTCTATAGGCGACGGTTACCACTTTCCATCAGGTTGACCGTCAGCTTGCTTACCATTCTAAGTTGCATAAAAAAAAGTTAGTAAACACCAACATTACAGCGTGCAGTGGAATCATTAAAAATATATTATGTATGATGATATAAAAATACTTGTAAACAAGTCTATTTAAATGAAGGCTATTCTATTCTGATGATGCTAAAATGTAATTATACAAAATACTAAAATGACTAATAACAAATTTATGACAATACAAGAATGAGGCATAAAAGAGTCTAAGAGTAAACAAAATGACACTATGTTTATTCACATAACGTAAAGGATATATTTTCTCTGAAATATTTGCATATACAGGGCATGATTCATACCTTTCGTACGACACGTCCAAATGATTATCTCTGTACTCTACTATCACTGATAAGAGAAATCCTTGCGAAGGTTTGTAACGATTGATGGATTGAATATTTATTTCTATTTCACATAAAAACTATTGAATAAATTTGAGTGAAATATGATACACGGGTGGCTTATATTCTAATGTATGTATTGTTTCAAGCGGACAAAGTCGCGGGAAATAGCCAGTACAAAATAACACTACAGTTTCGCCAGAGTTTCATAAGAGCATCTCTTACTTCTTGCATTATTATAATTCGTACTGGTACTGCATGGGTACTACTGTCCTATTTGTGTCTCTGCCTATCCCAACTTAGACAAAGCCGCGGGATGCAGGTAGTATTATAATATAAATTGATATAATGTATAATTATGGTTATGTTTAATGTTTCAGGAAGTACAGGGCGATGGCGAATGTTGTGCTATATGTATAGAGCCATACAAAGTCTCTGAGACGCTTCGATCTCTTCCTTGTAGGTGAGCCATGAATGATCATTATTTTTGGTTAAAGCTCAAAAAATATTTAATCTTTAATAGTGTATTCGGAGATGTTTATCAACATCTAGAAATCCTCGGAACAGTGAAGTCGCTTCGTGAGGCCTGTGAAGAACCCAGGAAGCTTCTGCGCTTCTGGGCGGAGCTAGGTTGGCTGTACTAGCCACGACTCATACGCACAATGGCCCAAATGAGAGGCTAAGCGTGGAAAATAGAGTCTTTTTCACATTCACATTTACAGTGTATTTGGTAACAGAATGACAATAATTGACATTTGTCAATTATTGTCTTTCTGTTATACTTAAGACGAAATGACCATATTTCGCCCAGTATATTTTTTTAATGGAAGAAGATGGAATAGTAACCCCACTTGCGTTTTATTTATTGGATGATAATGGAATGGTGACTCCACCTACGCTAATGGTATACGCTGGCGGGACACCGTTGAGGGATAATATGTCAAAATAAAAAGACAGGTTAATTATCCCATCGTGATAAATTCACCTGGAACTCACGATGGTTGATTCACAACTCGGTTTCTTCTGGACATTGATGATGGAAGAAGGTCCATCACCCATTTCATTATTGCCCATATCGATCGAATATGTTCAAGACTATTAACGAATATGTTGAAAGTTTTCTTAGACAAACTTTCAACATATTCGTTATTGGACCATTATATAGATATTTTAACTAAAATTTATAGATATAACTATATTACCCACTCCTAATTTTCAGCTTGTAATAATGTAATGAAAAATTGTGATTTTCAGACACGACTTCCACAAGAATTGCATAGATCCGTGGTTGCTGGAGCACAGGACGTGTCCCATGTGCAAGATGGATATACTCAAGCACTATGGTTTTGTGGTGTGTACCGTTTATATTGTTAAACTTATATTTTAAAACTACTACAACAAATTAGATGTAGTTTTCAGGGTATTTTTATGAATGAATGAATGAATGAATGGTAACCTCGCCTGCGTTAACTGTATTTATAATCTGGCGAGGCACCAATGAGGGATGATAGGTGAGACTGAAAGGGAGGTCAGTTAGCCCATCGTGATGAATACACTTGGAAAACAGCAGGATGGCTTCCAGGATCATGTGGAAGTCGACCTGATACCCTGTCAGGTCGACACTGTCGATATTGCTAGCTATGACTCCCCCCAAGATTTTAAATAAAATATATATTATCTTGATACGCCATCTAACAATGGTCCATTTAATTGGTCCATAATCCGTCAAAAAGTTAGTAAATATATTATTAATATTATATGAATTGAAAGCCTGCCGTTATTTATTTATTTATTTATATTCTTTTTTGCACTTGTAAGTTACATATAAAATAATGTATTTATAAATGTTATAAGCAAGGGTGGACTTATCTCTGACAGAGATAGACCGTTAATACTCTGTCCCGTTCTATTTCAGTACACGGGTAGTCAAGAGAGCATCTTACAACTGGACGTGGAGGAGGCGAGAAGTCGAGCGCTCAGTCCGGCCCGTAACAGGCATCCGCTCACCTTGGTATGTATTACACATTACAATTATGTCATATACAGACGAGGGATTTAATCCGTACTAATATTTTAAATATGATAGTGCTTGTTATGACTTTGCGGCCTTACGATTCACGTACAATGTATGTATAAGTAAAATTTGGGATGGAGATGAACTTACCTTACTTTTCTTAAACTTAAAACTTTTTACTTAAATCCCGGTTAACAAATATATCTTTCCTATCTTTAAAACAGCGATAACTCAATTGAATATCGCTTGATTGGGGTCCTGAGACTCTAAGATCTAAACTCTCGGTCTAAACCGCTGAATAGTTTAGATTGTGTGAAAATAATTGTCACTTGCTTAGTGCTTTTGACGGAGATGTTTAAAGCCGCACGTACATATGTTTACACATGTTTACACGATATGTTTGCAGCTAACGAGCGACAACTCATACGAGGAGGCAACGAGCGAGCGCAGCAGTCGCGCGTCGTCGCCCGACGAGTTGGTGCCGTCGCTGCGCGGTTGCGAGCCCGCCGCCGTTTCCGCTTCCGCTTCCGCTTCCGGCCATGCCTCGAGACACGCAGACTCGCGGTGTGGACACGCCACTAGGTATATATATACCTATCTCATGATCAAGTCATTAACATCTCACACATATGTTTTTTTTATTTTTTTTATATAATACTTAGAATGGCAAACAAGCTGACGGCCCACCAGATGAGAAGCTGTTTCTCCGTCCATGCTGTTCATATATATAGGGACGTGATTTGGTACATCACAGAACTGTAATCTTAATGGGATGAATATGAAACGGTAACCCTGTTTGTCCTATCGGTTTACGTTGTAGGGTACCAAAGAAGTATAGGTGAGGATAAAGGCTTGAGAAATTTATTATAAGTAATCACTATTGTAAAAAAGAGGGCCGTATGAAAATTGACCTGAAAGGATATATTGCTAGCAATAAAGTCTTCATCTCTTCATTGTTAACAATCACTTCTTTCTCTCCCTCTCTCCCCTTAACCCTCACTAGCTTTTTTTTTAATGGAATGGTAACCCCGCCTGCGCTATCGGTATACACTGGCAGGGCACCAATAATGGATGACAGGTAAAGATGAAACAGGCCCGTTAGCCCATCGTGGCAAATTCACCAATGAATCAATCACTATGGCTTCCAAGGGGAACCGCGAGGAGGTCGATCTGATAAGATATATTGCTAGTAATAGAGTTGCTAAACCCCATTACGAACAATCCTTCCCCCCCCCCCCCCCAACCCTCACTAGTTAGTTGTTTAAGTTCTACATAAAGCGATTTAGTTATAAAAAATCTCACATTTACAGATCTTCAACACCTAGCGGATCGCGGCCGGAGAGTTCGAGGCAACAGGCGGCCTCGGCTAGCTCGGCGGCTCGCGACTGAGTCGAAACTGACTACCCACCGTCGTGCCAAACTACGCCTAAGTTGTGTGCGGAGACTGACGGAATGCGGCACTATGTGATTGCAAGTGAAGTGCGCGGTCCACACGAGTGATGTGTTCATAAAAATATATTAGAAAAAAAAATACTCAATAAAGAATGAACTCTTTGAAAGTGAACTTCCAGTGGATGTATTCTTCCATGCATGGATGACACGTGATATTTCTATTTTTAAGGACAATATAGTTTTTTTATCGGTTAGTTACGCTGGTAGATAGGAATCCGTGACTCCGCCTAGTCAACGAAGTAGTGTTTGCCTACCAGTATGGTAAGCTTGCATGCCATTTAGTACCACCATACAAATTATACGAACTGTTTGCTATATATATTTATAGTTGAAGTAATGGTAATCTTTCTGTAGATTCCTTCACTTCACTAGTGAATACAAATTACCAACGGATATTACAAATGTATTCCTTTTTGTTTTGCATTATACACGTGTATGTGTGTCATACAATTGTTGTAATGTTAAATATCTTATAAATTCAATTTGCAAAATGTTTAAAAGAAATATATGTAATATTATTACAGATTTGATCAATTTAGGTTCTTTTTTGTGTAAAATAGAAATGGCAAGAAGAAGATAGGTGGTATTTCGTGACTGCTGCTCTATGCCGCGTAAAGATCAGCCAGGCGTGCTGGAGAAATGTTAATAGTGACCTAAACATACTGATATCACTTATCGTAACCTTCTTCAAACAATACTTTAAGTATATGGTAAAGACAGTGAGCTCATTGTCAAAAGGTGTATATAAATAATTTTACATAAACACTGCCTTTAGTTCCAAAAAGCGAGCCACTGTACTTAAATTGGTTCATGATCTCATTTGTATCTTTTAACGAAAATATTGTGTACATATTAATGCTTGTAAAATACGGTTGTGGTGGCCCTACCTTATTTTCCTAAGTATAAGAGGTTCTCTCATAAATATATTTAGCGGGGCGAGACCATGCCCACCGCAAAAATGTCTGGCGCCCATCCTAGAATGCGAGCGGAGCTTTTAGCTATGCTCAAAGACATGTCTAAGTTTATATTTGGGCTATTTTAAGCCCCCTCCGCCCCTAAAATATAGACCTATTAGGTCGGCTAATACGCCAATGCCATCGCGTGGTAACTGAAATAGTCGCGCGGAGCGACCAAAGCAATCGTTACAATGCTGTGAGAGCTGTGTCGAATTTCCGTCCATAATAATATACAAATTATAGTTCACTATACCTGCATTGCTTTTAATATCTTCCATTCAATAAAAATATATGGCTAAAAATCTAGGTACACGATGGACAATTTCTTCTAGAACAAAATTTCCGTTTGTGTTAACTGTATAATTACAGAACACGTATTGTTGCGCGCAATTTTAGAGGCTTTTCTATTAAAAATAAACTAAATAAAGACAAATGTTTCACGTCTGCGCAGACCAGTATACTATAAATGTGAACATTGTAACGATGCGAGGAAAACTAATCCTTATGTTTATTAGATAGAAAATAATATTGTCAATGTAGATAGGGAATTAATAATGAAATATTTTGGAATTTATCGCGATTCACTGTTTCATTTACTAATTTGTTCTGTATTTGTTGTAACCTGATTAACGTAGATCGTTATAAAGAAATGAACGGCTAGGATATATGTTTTATTTAATAATATACCTACGTATACAATTGCTGGACATGATTGTGCACAATTTAATAAGAAAAAATATATAAATTTTACAAAGGGGGCCATTGCACAGTATGGTTAGTTAAAGCTTTCACTAAGATTTTAGTTATTAAAAATTTATCTGTTGGTTTTATCAAGCTCTTACATTTAAATGATTCATAACACCGATCTACTCCGAAGACAATATTCAGCTTGTTCGGTGCCTTTGTGAAACACATGCAAATAAAATTGCGAAACAAACGCGGTCAACTACTTGCGTTCTATTAATAATAGTTTTATAATCTAGTCTGAAATTGTGTCGCTTTTAAATTCAATTATAAGAAATACTTAATTTTATTTTTATTGAATTGTATTTAAAAGCGATTTCATACATTCAAACTTTATTTTTAAGTAACAAATTATGTTTAGTGTAAGCGAGCATTTAAGTTATTTACAGTACACTACAGTACTTATATAGGAAATCCGTTGGATTCTATAATAACAAGGAGACTGGTATGTACTTTATTAACTACATATAAATAATATTTACATTCCCTTCGTGAAATGTTCTAATGTACTTGGTGTACAACAAGTGTTGATGATAAAAAATAAAAACCAATACAGTATTGAAATTCGTGTTTTATTATATTCTAGTTGGTGGAGGGAGTGATGGGAATTTAGACCAATAAAAAAAAGGTAGATGTTTAAAATAAAAATCGTTTATTTAACCTCCAAAATTGCATAATTCTTACCATATACAACAAATATAAAATCGTTAATTATTTTATCCAATATTCATTACCCATAATATGTAATTAGCTAAGACTATATAGATTGTCTTCATACAAAGGCTTCGAGAAAAGAGGGTCAACTTGTTCATACAATTTTGCATGATAAATAGTTATGAGTGATTCTTTTACAACTTCTATATTTATTTTGTCTTATAAATTCTGTACTCTTTTAATGCGCAAAAATTCATTTATTAAATAATTAAATATAGATACATTATGTGCATAAGTAAATACAGAACACTGATAAAAAAAAGGAGTCAGCTAATTTGACAGCTGACAAAAAGTTGACCCGTTATTAAGACTCGAAGCTCCATCTATATAATCTAAGGTATGTTATACAGTTGATTGTATATATATTTTTACATACACTTGTATATCAACAAAAACACGAAAGCAAAAATAGAAAAAAAAAGTATTTTGAAATATTTTAACTAAGTATTACTGGAATATTATAAAATACTATATATATTTATGATTATTATTTGAAAAGAGAAGCATTGATTTAATCTTTTTGCATTAGATTTTTAGAATGCAAAAAGTATAATTTTTTTTTACATCTATAATGTAAACGACAAATGACTTATTTACAATGTGACTATTACTATAAATTTATAATTGGAATTATGGATTAAGTATTATTTTAATACTTGAGCACACAATTTTTACTAATCATCATGTCGGCCTTTAACTGTCCACTGCTGAACATAAGTCTCTTCCTTCGGAGGGTTTTGACTGTAAGCGCAGTTAGACTATGGAGATGATTTAAGAGGGTCGCTGCTGTTTATCTCTCCACCATAAGCTCACTTAGTCGCCTCTACGACACTCACGGGTAAGGAAGGGGTGGACTATTCTATGCTGGGACTACACAGCCACTACTTACTTACTTACTAATACTAAAAAAGTGTTTATTACCTCTTCAAGCTTTTAGGACTCAATCAATCAACATGAAATCTAGCATAAATATACTATTTGGGATATAATGAACAAACACTAGTACAATACCATTTATGATTTGTTAGGATACAATACTTATGAGTCTGGACACAGCGAAAAGGTAACGTATTTTTACGCATTTTTACAGTACCTACCGCTCATTACAACCACATATTCACATAAATTTATATTTTTTTTACATAAAAAACAGTCTTAATTTTTATTTATATTTAATTGGGACCATACTTAAAGTAAGTCCTTTCAATTAAACAAAGAATTACGAAAATCAGCTTAGAAATATAAAAAAAAAACACGCTCAAACAATCCTTTACATACAGTATGTCAATTAAAATATCTCATTTCTTAAAACTGGTGTCAGTAAACTTGAATAGGGTTTAAAAAAAAATGATTTTTTCTTAGAACAATAATTTTTGTACCAACAAATACAAAAACAAAAGTACAACTGTATCAGTACCAACAGCGCTATACAGTACAATTTTTTACACAACTATTATTAAATGGTGCTGTTTATACAGATACATATTATTTTCGAGAATTTCAATTTATATTTTGGTAATTTTTTTTAATCGCTATTAATGAATACTAACACCACTATTAAGGAACAGATTACGTTAATTAACATACTGTATGCCCTCATCCACTTTGAAGTTGTTTAGAGAAGCAGCTAAGCGTGCCTGAACAGCAATACTTTTTATTTTTACTTAATCGCTTGACTGCACACTAACGCCATTATTCATAAAAACATCGATCGTTTAATCAATTTTTTAGCTATTGTTGAAATTGTTGATTTTTTTTAGTTTTTATGAATAAGAGGGTTAAATCAGTTCTAATTAGGCTTTAGCTAGTTATCTAGTTCCAACACGTGGTTTCCATATCAATGAGACGGTCCACCGACGGCGACCACGAGCTCGCGGATGAAGAACGTGTCGAAATTGAACTCGCATCATTTGTCCCACAGGCCCACCTCTTTCATTTTCGATTGGAAGTACTTCTCTAGGCCGTTCGCGCACCTGTTATAAATTTAATAAAGGAAATATTAATTAATATATTAATACGTAAACGGAATGAAAGAATGGATGGAAAGGAAGGAAACTAGCTAAATAATTAAAATAATTAGATGCAAAACCTGGAACTTAATATCCGGGAAAAAGCGTGCTCCTTAGGGGGAGCCACAATAAAAAATAAAAAAAAATATTAATACGAAGAGCATAGTCAGCATAGCCCTTTGCTAGGGCAGCACCGAGGTATAAGAGGCGCTATCAGTAAAGCAGTAAAGGATCGCATAAAATTCGTTATTTTGTCAGCAGTTCAGTAAAAGATGGCGATCATTTTTTTTTTTGTAGTTAGGACGAGGGGAGAGGCTTTGCCAGGTAAGACTGGACCTGAGTATAGTTTTTGCAATTAATAAGCATTTAAAATTGCCATAATTTACTACATAGTTAGTTACCTGTAATAATCTGTATCTGGTGAGTTGTACAGTCGACAGTTGGTGAATATACGCGTCATGTCGGCGATGAACAGCCGCTTGGACACGTAGTAGCGTGCCTTGAGGCGCTCACCCATCGTGCGGAGGTCTGCGAAAATCATTTGATTATGTTATTATTATAATTTAAGGTACATCTATTATAAAAACTTAATGTCGAGGCCATAAAGGAAAAACAAATAAAAAACTGTACATAGTTACATTTTAAATATTAATCTTTTTAATTCCATTATAACAAATAAGTTAAAAAATAATGCCTTAGATATATGATGCATTTCTACTAAATTATTATATGTACAGTTAAAATGTTAGCTTTTGACATTTAAATTACATATTCTGAATAATTATAATTATTATGTTCTAAATATAAATAAATGTCGGCCATGTGGTTTCGGGATAGAATGAGTCACTTCATCCTTTCCCGTGGGTATAGTAAGAGGCGACTAAGGGAATTTAAAGGTCGAGAGATGGACAGTAGCATGCCTCTTTAAACATCACCAAAACCTAACTCACCTGCCGAATTGGCACAACCCCCAATAGACCTTCCTTTATTAGCCTATATTCACCTTTGGAGAATGAATGGTTGATGTGAAAGGGATAATGATAAATATAAATAAATAAATATATCAACTTACCCATTGGGAATTTAATGTGATCATAGTAATCCGGTACCTCGGTCTTATCAACTGGTTTCAGGAACGGCCAAGCTGCTGCGTGATTTTTAACCTGTAACAAAAAGTTTATTGATTAAAATAAAATATTTACATAAATTTAGTTTCTTTGTCATATTAATATATCCTATCTATTTTATCTTCGTTTTATTTTTCACAACTTTTGGGCATTAGTAATCAATAAATTTTATCAAATGAAAGATTATTAAATTTAAGATTAGGATTTAAGAGAACTATTAAAAATTGTCTTTCCTCAAGTTATGTTACACATATTCATTTGTGCAATGAAATTGTATACAACTTTACATATTATTGTAGCACTTAAGGTTCAAAAATGTTTTTGCTTGATCTGTTTTAGAAAATCAAATGACACGTCTTCTCACTACATTGTTTTATTGTGAACTGAAGTAACAATTCCTTTTTACTAACTTATAAAACATTAGGCGACGGCGTGTAGTGTGTTTGTGTGCGTTAACTATGGGTGTATGGTATATCCGAATGGATTGGTGTGTGGACTGTATGTTAAGATTACTATATTTCTTTATTTATTTTTATAAACAATATACTGTAAATAGTTACAACACATATTATTAGTACTTATTTCTAGATAAATCAAAATGTTCAGTGATCATAGTTATTTATCTCAGAGACATGGTGCTTAAATGTCGAAAAAAGTCGTGGTCAAAAAGGTAAATTAGATTTGGTTTATTGAAATCCCAATATGTTTACTTTTTTTATTTTTAAACTTTACATTTACCAATTTATGTTTGTAATTCCTAAGATTACTAGTTAAACCTAATATTTACCTAACCGTATTTCTAAGTATGTATTTCTAAGTAAGAGAGCGGATGGTACATACTGCTTGAAGCACATTTCGCAGTGCGGCGAGGTCGGGCTCCGCGTCGGGCTCGAGGGCGCGGCCCGAGCCCGCGACACCGCCGCTCGAGCGCCAGCCCGTCTCGCGCAGCCCCGGGATGCTTTCTATAGGAATACTGCGTACCTATGGACAAAATCATACATTAAAAAAATATTTAAAACTAGCTGACCCAACACACGTCGTTCTGTTAATATTTATTGCCTAATTAACCAACTTAAACCGAATGCTAACTTAAACACTGTATGTACCGATTTACGCAGGCGAAGCCGCAGGAAATAGCTAGTTATAAAACAAAATTTAATTATATAAACATCAATTTTTGAATTATATAAATTAAATAACATATACGTACTCCTTCTTTAAAGCACGTCAATCCAGGGTGTATTTTTCTGACCTCCTTCTGTCTTATGTCAATTAGCTTCTTTACGATCTAAAACAAAGCAGTATAAGTGAGTATGGTATTGCAATATTATTGAAATTAGAAATACAAGAAGCGTTCAAAAGGTACCTCCTTCTGCTTTCGTATGACGGTGGTGAACTGCGTATATACTATTCGTGGGTTCAGTTCACAGTGCATGAGCGTAGCACCCTCGTAGTCCTTTATGTAGCCTTGATACATTGCACGCGGCAACTTGATATCTTTACTAAAGCCCTGTTTCTTAAAGTATCCTGCGGGGAACACATATAACGATTAAATAGATCTGATGACCTCGCTTCTTCTATGGGTATGTGGTGCCGAGGTTCCAGTGAGGGATTATAGGTAATGATGGAATCAGAACATTTGACGTATGATGTCGATTATATATAGCAATATCTATATATCGTCGTTATAATATGTATAAATTGAGTCAATTACGAATATATTAAATATCAGTCATCCAATATATAATTAAAATATATAAATATATATATTATAAATTTTACCAGAGGGAGACTTTGTACAAAAGTACGATTGCTTGGGTACTTCTATCCCATTCGTGTTTCTACCGTGAAGCAGTTGTGTTTGCATGGCTGTGTTTCGGTTTGAAGGGTGGGATATAGCGTGAATTTACTGGGTACAGAGGAATAACACCTGAGTCCTCAGGAATGGCAACGCATGGGGGGTATCATGGGCGAAACAGTATACTTTGTTATGTCCATGGTACTGCTTATGTGTATAAGCGACGGTTATCACTTTCCATCAGGTAGGCAGTTAGCTTGTTAGCCATTCTAAGTAGTATAATATATATATATATATATATATATATATATATATATATATATATGTCCCAACTGGTACGAGCAATATCCGAATGGATGGCGACCTTTTTTTCGCTATTATTGTCCAGTGAAGCTCAATATATAGATTTCGAAACTGTACCGATATTACCCATCTTATCAAGAACTAATCACGATGAATGCCCGAGGAACTTGACAGGATATATTACTAGAAATGGAACCACGGAACCACTAATTCCAATTATTAATAGTTTTTTTCCCGTATATTTTTGTGTATTAATTATAATGGTAAGTAAAGGTATATTATAAAGTTTTCGTTCTCATATATAGATGATTAATAAATAACGAAGGTTTATGATATCGTTCGTAGAAGGCGGTTACTTTTCTAGACAAATGACGAATTAGTACATGGATGAGAATCATTATAGACAGAGAAACTACGAGATAGAATGAGATAGCGACGTCCGATGTGTCATTCAAACTCATGAACTCGCTTGCAATAGTGTTAGACAAGTGCTCTAGGGGCCAAAAGCTTGTTTGTCATTTCAAGCTATATAAATAATACGTTTTATGGAATAGATCAACTCACCTATAGCAAATTCATCAGCGAACGTAAGGAAGTGCAGTATATTGGTCCGTATGTGGTAGTCCTTCAGATGGTTCATGAGGTGTGTGCCGTAGCCCTTAACTTGTTCATTGGACGTCACCGCACAGAATACTATCTCGCTGAAGCCCTGTGTATAGGAATAGAATAATAGGAGATTAAAGAAAAAATGGTTTTGCATCGATTAAAAAAAAAAGTTTCAATTACATTTCTTTTTATTTCTTGTACACGTGTAAAAAAAAAAAATCCGACACTGACGAGAATCCTCTACACAAGTAACAATTATTCGTCACATTGACGTAGATTTTCACCGACTGTAAAATAATTTAAAACTGATGTCTTATCCGGGTTGCAGTCATCATTTTGCTTCCTATTAAGGTAGAGTGATTTTAAGGTTTTTTTTTTCGAAAGAAAGGGTCGAGTCATGCTAACACGGTAATGTTAACAAAATTAGTAAAGGTCTATTTATATGCTATTTCTATTAACCTGAAACGCTGTTTATTAAATATAATTATTTTACAGAAGACATTATTACAGTACATAGTAGTTACGTTAATAAATCGTGTCCAATAACTGCAGTAGTCATATGAAATTAAATTAAAAACTACTTTTTTTTTATACAACTTAGAATGGCAAACAAGCTGACGGCCCACCTGATGGAAAGTGGTAACCGTCGCCTATAGACATGAGCAGTACCATGGACATAACAGAGTATACTGTTTCGCCTATGATACCCCCCATGCGTTGTAGTTCCTGAGGACTCAGGTGTTATTCCTCTGTATCTAGTAAATACACGCCATATCCCACCCTTCAAACCGAAACACAGCCATGCAAACACAACTGCTTCACGATTGAAACACCAATGGGACAGAGGTACCCAAGCAATCGACTTTTATACAGTCTCCCTAAAAATATGTTATCATAGAATCTCACTGACTCTCATAAGATTATTTGAATTGATAACACAAGAAAATATGAACTCACCTGTGCTCGGAATGTTCTGAAACAGATGCCACCTATTGGTCTGCCCTCTTTAATCAGCGCCAATGTTTTGTGTTTACTGAAATTGTTTAAAGGTCATTATAATGTTTTTACTACTTATATAAACATTCCAAAAATGGTATTTTTATGGATTAATAGAGTTTGGTAATAATAGAGATTTTTGACAAATTTTATTAATCGTTTTAATACCTAATAGTGGTTGAAATTCAGTGTTGTCATTTATTTATTTGGTTTGTATTTTAATCTAGTATGTGTGTTCACTAATGTTATGAATAATTAAATTTGGTATAATAATATTTGACACCTGCCCACCACCATTATTACCTTTATCGTGAACGCATTGTTACAAATTTATAGTAATTTTTTTTATACAACTCAGAATGGCAAATAAGCTAACTACCCACCTGATGGAAAGTGGTAACCGTCGCCTATAGACATGAGCGGTACCATGGACATAACAGAGTATACTGTTTCGCCCATGATATCTCCTATGCGTTGCCATTCCTGAGGACTTAGGTGTTATACCTCTGTACCCAGTAAATTTACGCCATATCCCATCCTTTAAACCGAAACACAGCCATGCAAACACAAACACAACTGCTTCGCGGTAGAAACACGAATGGGACAGAGGTATCCAAGCAATCGACTTTTGTACAAAGTCTCCCTCTGGTGAGTGAACGAACGAAATATTTGACAGAATGATATTTGGGAACAGGATTGTTTTTGTTTTTTAATGGGTTATGTAAATGGAATAGTACACCCGCTTAAGCTAATTTGTATATAAGGCTAAACGCCATTGGAGGATGATTTGAGATCAACGGACCCATCACGGCGAATTAAAGAGGAATTTACCACGATGACTTCTAGAGGGAACTGAATAGGTAGGGGCCGATGTGACAAAGGAATTTAGTTACTGTAAAATTGAGCAAGAAAGTGAGCTTGTTTGTTACCTCATAGCGGCTTAAAGGCTTAACAGATTACTATGAAATTTGGAATGGGAAAGGATATTGGCTATTTTTTTTATATCGGTTAGTAAATATATCCCGGTCTGGACGAAGTCGCGGGTAAAAGTTAGTAAAATTATAAGAGTCTAATCAACTGTCAAGTTCCCTTAGTTCGTAATTGCATTAAAAATTTTTAAGAGGCATAATATATAATTACATTACTCACGGGTCAAAAACCAACTGCGATATATACTCTTTTGTCATTTCAGGTAACTGATGCGAGAAAACATTATGGAGACCTGGAAGAATTGTATGCTTAGTTATTACTGTTATATTTAGTAATAAAAAAAACATTGATTTTCTTGGTTTTAAATAGAGACTAGATAGATATAGAGAGAGCATTGGGTTCTTCAAAACGGGAGTAAAGAGCTTTCTTCATGGACGGTAACTCGCGCGTAATACTTCTGGTATTGCAGGCGTTCATAGGTTAACCGCTTACCATCAGATGGGCCGTATACTTGTTTGTCACCTCAGTGGTATAAAAAAATGGTTTGCGCAAAAGGAAATTTTTCCACAATCTTTCGAGTAAAAATAATAATAATATACATATATATTAGTTAAGTTAAGAACTATAAAATCTGTTGTCCATCATTAAAACGTCATAAGTATTAGCTAACCCATATTTACAGTACAATAAAGAATTTAAAGAATTACCTATAAGCCACAGCATGGTCTGTTTGTTGACAGGTCCAGTTAGGGAGTTGCCTATAACGTGAAATTCAATTAACTTCCGTTGTTCCTCGGACTTGGCCGCTTCGTCGCGCGGCGCTTGCATTTGAAATAGTGCCTGAAAAACAATTGCTAGTTGTACTAGAGGAATATTTTATAAAAGGACCTTGTGTCCCACGTATGTTACTGTACCCAACCAGCTTTGCTTGAGGCTGTTTCGGTTTTTGATGTTTGCAATCATCATCGTCATCATCATCATCATCAGCAGCATACCAGCCGTTAACCGTCCACTACTAAATATAGGCCTCTCTCATATAGAGGGGTTGTCAGTAGTTGCCAACGCTTGATTGGCAGGTTTTGAAGGAGCAGTTGTCAGTATTTGCCAACGTTTAATAGGCGGGCTTTGGATATGTATTAAGAGGGACACTGGCTGCCCATCCCTCGGCCATTAAGTTGCCTTAGTCGCTTCTTGGTTGAAATAATAAAGAATAGAAGAGGCAAAATGCTGGGCCACCTTATACGACATGACGATTTTTTTAAGAGCATAGTAGAAGGAAAGATAGAGGGCAAAAGAGGAAGAGGAAGACCGAGGATTAATTACATGGGACAGATAAAGGAAACACTAGGCGTCATGTCGTATAGGGAGATAAAGGATATGGCCTGGGATAGAGCTGGCTGGAAGAAGATGCATGAATTAGTTGCACCGACAAGAGGAAACTCTTAAATGAAAAGAAGAGTCGCTTCTTACAACACCCACGGGAAAGTAAGGAGTGCATTCTATGCCGAGATTACACGGCAATAAAGTTTAGAATATATGGTAGCAGTAAAATTTTCATAACACCTGAACTTCAGTAATAGAATGCTTGAGATTATGGTGTCCGCGACTACAGGCGACGGTTACTACTTCCCATGAGGTGGGCCGTCAGCTTGTTTGCCATTCTATGTTGCACGAAAAAGTTAATAATTTCTGGTAATATTTTCATTAGCTTAATGTTAACTTTTGTCGATTTACCAAATGATTAATATCATATACAAAAATACAAAATACTACAATAAGGTTTGCCATTACTTAAAAATTAATATAATACTAATAAAATAGTTTGTTAATAAATTAATTTAATAAAATACTAATCCTTACTAATGTTTTTTATTAATGCGTGATAAAGAAATAATAACCCCGCCTGCACTATCCCTATACATTGACGGGGCACCAAAGAAGGATGATAGGTGAGGATGCAGCAGGTCAGTTAGCCCATTGTGACGAATTCAACAATAAATAAATCACAATTGTTTTCAGGGGGAACTGCGAGGAGGTCAATCTGATAGGGTTTATTGCTAGCAATGAGGTTGCTAATCCCCATTACTCACAATCCTTTCCTCCTCCCCCTCACTAATGATACTGTGTTTCAGATGCAGAAGAACATGGGTTACTCTTTCAGTCGATCAATATATTCTGATTCCAACCTGACCTGACCGAAGTTGTGGGATAAAACTAGTTACCAATATTTTTTTCTAGCATGCTTTTGGAAGTTTACAATGTGTGTGAGTGACAATGGGAATGCTCACATCAGGTCCGCACATGTAGTTGGGATCGTTGATGGTGGCGACAATGTCGGCCACTGTGCGATCCCCCACGTCATCCCCGATAACTTCGCCGCGCCGCCGCTTGGCGTTCACAGCGCCATCTTCCGATCGACCGTCGGCGCCGCGTTTCAGTCCTCCTTCTTGTTTTACTGTACCTATTAAAAACAAATTACATTTAATTATCGATATAATAAAAAAACAAGTTCTATCGCGAACTGTAACATAATTAATAACATTCATAATTATAATATATAATTTTAATGCAGGTGACCACTTTCTATAAGGCGGGCCGTCAGCTTCGCCATTCAAATTGTTATCAGAAATAAAATTCAAAACATTTGAAGTGAAAAAAGGATAATTAGGGTTCCCAAAACAGAATCCCAGCCAAAATCTCTAAATTGTCAAATTTACATTTTGGATCATTTAAGAGATGATTGTCACTTGCTTTTGACCTAGTAAGCATATAATGACACCGTCTAGTAAACAATGTCAGAAGTCTCGTGTACAACTAAGGAGGCCTAGGTCTTGATAAAAGTGGGCGATACAGTTACACGAAGACTAGTAGTAATAATCCGGTCACGCCGACGAAGTTGGTAAAGTGGGTAAAGACTAAATAGTTAGTTTGGACACATTCTACAGCTCGCCATCGATTTCACCTTTAGGGAGTTCACCTTTATATCTTAGAGCCTAGATGGTCGCATACAGCGCGACCTCCTACGAACGCTCAGGTTATGGAATGAGGTTTTCCAAGAGACTACAGCATGGGGTTCTAAAAAAAGGGATAAAATGATTCCTTCAGGGTCGACAACGCGCACGTAATGCGTACGCCTGGTATTGCAGGCGTTCATAGGCTACGGTAACCGTTCACCATCAATTGGGCCGTTTGCTTGTTTGCCACCTCAATAGTATAAAAAAAAGTTACAAATAAACAAAATAAATTTGTAATGTAATTAAAAAAAAAAGTAAATACCTGATGACAAAGACACGGTGGTGAAGCCATCTTTGCTATCGCCACTGGCCGTTACGCGCTCAAATTCCCCACGCCGACCAGCTGTGGGATTAACACGCGTGTCATGACATGACATTGCCCATAGGCAATATTATGGGAATAAGCATACGGTCCGCCTGAAGGTAAGTGGTCACCGCAGCCCGTGTAATCGCATGCAATATCAGAGGTATTGTTTGCGCTTCGCTAACCTTTATAAGACGAGTCACAGTATCGAGTAACTTCACTGGAATACGGAATAAAATTGAAATCCTTAGCATCCTATTAAGAAGTATTTATGTTTTATTATATTATTTTTATTAATTTTTTTTTAGCGGCCCGTCCCGGCGTGGACATTTTTACATTTTAAAAAGTGGCCATTAAGACTGCACACGCGACGGAAGCTTAAAAATGGAGTAAATTTACCCGTTTTCCCAACATTTCTCTTCACTGCTCTGCTCCTATTGATCGTAGCGTGATGAAAAGTATACTGTAACCTGCCCAGGAGTATGAAGAATAATTGTACCAAGTTTCGTTAAAATCCGTCGAGTACTTTTTGTTTCTATAACGAACATACAGACAGACAGACAAAAATTTTACTGATTGCATTTTTGGCATCATTATCGATCACTAATCACCCCCTGATAATTATTTTGGAAATATATTTCATGTACAGAATCCTACAGATTTATTATAAGTATAGAAGCATGAGTGTTTTTTTTATTACATACACTTCTTGCGCCAAATAGCTACCGTCTTTTTTCTTTTCTCCTCTCTCCAAAGATTACTGGAAGAGATTGCTTTAGTGATAAGACCGCCTTTTGTACTTTAAGTGTAATATATATTTTTTGTATTTTTTTTACACCACGAAGGTGGCTATACAAGCATACAACTCGCCCGATGATAAACGATCACTGTAGCCTATAGACGTCTGCAATACTAGGGATGTCACGTACGCGTTGCCAATCCTGAAGAAAACTCAATACTCTTTTTGAAGAACCTCATACTGTATATAGATAAATAGACAGATACTCTTGTTTCCTTCAAAAGATTACAATAATAAATTTATTATAGATACAAACAATTACGAGAAATGATCATAGTAAGAAAATAATGGGCGACCTTGTCGCTAAAAACGATCTCTTCCTGGCAACCTTTGGATGGAGAAGAGTAATTATAAACAGTTCGATCGAAGCTATGGTGAAAATATCGCTCAGTAGTCACTAGGGAATACTTCGACAGGGAGTTCATTCCACAGCCTAAGAAGTCGCGGGAGAAAATTCCTTTCGAACAGCATTATTCTTTAAGTAGTGCAATGAAAATAAATAAATAAATATTCTACAAATGAAACTAAACATTTTTCCCCAAGAAACAGGACATAAAAAACACCTATACTAAATTTCATAACTGGGATTCATTGTATAGGGATAGAAGGTTTCCAATTTTTATAATTTGGTAATAATATAAGTCTCTGTCAAAAAACACTCTTAAAAGGACACTAATAATTTCGTTTAAGTCTTGTACATCACCTTTTTTACTGTGATACTGGACTCATATTCTGTGAAATGCAATTTCTGGCTAAATAATTAGGTACAGTTATGTATTCCACTTACTTCCTTTGTTCTCTAATATGGCTTGAAGGTGAGTGGGCGGCACTTGTTTGTAGTCTGGGTCCCAGATTGGCGAGTTGGCGCTGAAGATTTCGTCTTCGAGCAACGCCAGGAAGCGGGGGAAATGTGTGAGAACCAGTACCTGTATTGCACAATGACATTTGATTATACCGCAACTGATTGATCAATGATTGCCCACAACATCAAAAGTTATAATATGACCTTTTTTATTATTATCATTCCATCACCCGTTAAGTGTCTACTGCTGAACAGACCTTCCCACATTGGAGTATTTTGCCAGTAGTTGCTACGTTTGGCAAGCAGGTTGGCAATCGCAATTAGGCTTTGTTAATGTTTTAAGAGGGACTTAGTTGCCCATTCCTCGATCACTAAGCTCCCACAATCGCCTGCTACGACACTCAGGAGAAAGGAACGGGTATTTTTTGGTGGATGAAAATGGAATTGTAACCCCGCCTGCGCTAATGGGATACGCTGGCGGAGCATCAGTGAAGGGTGATCGATGAGAATGAAAACAGGCCAGTTAGCCCATCATGATAAATTGATCCGGAATTGACCATGATAGTTTCCAGGGGGAACGACGAGGAGGTCGACCTGGTTGGGTATATTGCTAGCAATGGGATTTTTAGTCTCCATTACGAAAAATCCCTTTACCCCGAAAGGAACGGGTTACCCATTCTATGCCGGTAACACACGACATGATACGATCTAATAATATAACATTTTATTATGCATAAAATAAACCATTTTAGGTCAAACCTATCCAAAAAGTAGTGTCGAAATTACAACCTCCTTCTAATTAAAGTCGGTTCAAAGATATTTAATAAAGAACCTCATTATTTCGTCGTCATGTAACATAGGTTTTGCAAATAAGTCAAAATTTTATTATTATCATTATCAACAAAATAATAAGATTTCCAAAATGTTGGTTTAATACCGAATATTTCCATGTTATCTAATTATCTCTTATTTTCATTTTTTTTTCAATTCAAATGCTTCTGTATTCAAATAGATTTGTTAACAAGCACTTTTAAATTGTCATTCCCTTTTAAATCTCTGGTAATATTAAATGCACTATTATACTTTTTCTTAATATTAAAAACGAGAGGGAGACTTTGTACAAAAGTCGATTGCTTTGGTACCTCTGTCCCATCCGTGTTTCTACCGTGAAGCAGTTGTGTTTGCATGGTTGCGTTTCGGTTTGAAGGGTGGGATATAGGGAAGAGGCGTGAATTTACAGGGTACAGAGGAATAACATCTGAGTCCTCAGGACTGGCAATGCATGGGGGGTACCATGGGCAAAACAGTACACTCTGTTATGTCCATGATACTGCTCATGTCTATAGGCGACGGTTACCACCTTCCATCAGGTGGGCCGTCAGCTTGTTTGTTATTTTAAGTTGTATAAAAAAAAACGAATTCAATAACATTGTGATCTGAGATATAAGAAAGAATAAATAATAATATCTAACAAGAAATACATACTCGTTTCTCTGGTGGCATCCGATCCCGTTCAGAGTGACACTTGTCCATGAGCTGCCTGCAGACAGACTTGAAGACCGCTCGGAGGAGAGTCCGCCCGAACACGAGGGAGGTTTCATAGTGAGGTAGGGAGTCACAGAACGCTGGCACGTGGCAGAACACCAGCCATCTGGTGACAATTGGTATATCATTATTTTCGAGACAGGACTACTTAAAAGATTGTGTATTCCTGAAGACTAAGGTAAATTAATTTATTATAAGCAATTGTATTAAAGAAGTAGGCACTGAATTTAAATCGAAATAAAAAAAAAAATGCCATAAATACCTTGTGTAATTAATTTGATATGCAGATATATCCTCTGGATTAGAGACTTGCTGTAATACAAATATAAAGGTTAGTCTCAATTGTATTAAAAAAATCAAAGTTCTTTAAAGTTATTCACAAGTTTGTGGTCCATAAAAAAAAAAGATTTAATTTTTGGCAAAACCAGTTATGTTAATTTCAAAACTAAACTACTAAAGCTGTACGGTTAATTACCCTTGTACATTCTACAGATTTCTTTCAGCTTCTCAAAGGTTGACTTTATGGGATAAGTCCGCAATAGTATATCAAATTTTTTAATGTATTCAGAATGAATTATGTACAATTAAGATTTTACAATACAATACTAAACTGATTACGATCAAATAAAAAAGAATTTCCCAAATCGGTTTATAAGTGATAAAGTTATGAAATAACATCTACGTGTTTGTTTTGTAGATAAGATATTACACTAATTTCGAAAATTATAGATATATTAAAAGTAATTCATATGAAGAGAGACAAATACAATAAATTTGTAAATGTATGGTATCTTACATAGTTTACGCAAAATTGTTTATTTCTTGTAAATTTTTACTAATATTATAAATGAAGCGAGTCTGTTTGTTTGTCACCTCTTAGCATCTTAACTACTGAACTAATTATTACGAAATTTCATATACCCATACAACCCGAACAATGAATATATCAAAACCATGTGGACGAAATCGCGAGTAAAAGTTAGTATAATATATTAGTAAACAGCTTACCAATTTCCTTACACTCGGAGTCTCGAAATTCCAGTGGTTAAAACAATGTAGGAACATTTTTGCTAGATCATACATGGTTTGCCATTCACGTTGCGGTAGTGCTTGGAACTTATACAATACGAAGTTGGTGATGGCCTTCGCGATCGAGGGTCGCTCGAATGGCGGCTGGCCTAGTGGACCCTCGATACGAGGCTGACTGCGGGTCAGGATACATTTCCGTAGAAGCTGAATGACAGAATTAGGTAAATTTTTATAGAATTTACATCAGAAGAAAATTATAGTCCAATCTTATTTTGCCACACTGTAGGCATGTAAATATCAAAGCCTGTATTGGGGGAAGGAATAGTCAGTGGTAGGGATTAGCGGTGCTCATGCCCCTCAAATATTGCGCTTAAATTAATAATTAATACACCATGTAACCCCCATCCAATATCCAATAGAGTGATGCCTTGAATACTGTATCGTAAATTATTAAAAAAATCTAATAATAAACTGTTTGGGCGATCTAAATGTGGTCCTTTCTGGAAGTCATCAGAGTTAAATTCGTATGATTACATTATGAACTGACCTCCTTTTTCCATCCTACTCCATCGTTCTATACTGGTAATCCATCATCGTAAACCAATAGCAAAGACTGATGAGTTTACAATTACATTATCATTCCATTAAAAAAAATACTATTATTATTTTTATATCTATTTAAGGTTATATTGTGGTTATTATTCTAATACAGATAAAAGTATGCCATATTTATTTTAAATGAAAATGGCATGCGTAAAACATGTTACTAAAGGTTAGATAACCTAACAAAAGTATGTTCATTTATTTAGTTACAGTAATATAAACTTGAGTAATAAAAATAATAATATATTAGTTGACAAATATTAAATTAGTAGCGGGTGTATTAACTTATATGTCAGACAACTTGGAGACTATCTTTGTTAGTACTTAATTACAAATAATGATCTAGTCCTCTGGGCAAGAATTCACAATAGAGGACTATATAATTTATTTACAAATATATTCAGGATACTGTTGCTATTCCCATGTATTCTATGTAAAAACGAAGCTGTCTTCTTATGCCAGAAGGCGTTAAAACTATCTGTACTTCAGCAAACGTCGCTGAGGCACTACAAGAACGTGTTATTAAAGTGGAAACGCAAGACGTTGTACACCCTCAGCTATACTATAGCCACAGACTCCTTGAGTATAAAAATGTACAATATGCTTTAAATAGTGTTATTTTCAAACATTACATAAGAAACTTATACACTTGAAATATAAAAAATAGTGTAGATACCAGCAAGCAATTTGAAAATAATCTAATACAAAGTCTTCACTATTTCTACTTGACATGATAGATTGTTCAAATTTTTTGTTGTAAAATATTGTAATATCTGACGTATATTCACCTTAAACAGGTAATAGTAAACTCTTTTAGTATCATGATCGTCTTCTCTGTGCATTGACATGAAAATGTTTTCCACGTCGACAACTGCCCCCAGCAGTCTATTCACTTCATTGACCGATAGACCTTGCAGTTGTGTTACATGATTTTCTGCAAAAAATATCATCAATTAGAAAACACTTTACAATCTGTGAATGTTGGAGGGAAAGGAATTATTAGTAATGGGGTCGAATAGCCCCATTGCTAGCAATGTACCTTGTCAGGGCGACTTCCACGCGGCTTCACATGGAAACCATCATGGTTAATTTTTGTTGAATTCATCATAATGAGCCAACTGACCTGTACCATTCTCACCTATCATATTTCACTGATGCTTTGCAAGCCGGCCTAGTTATTTCATTTTCACCCATTAATAAACCCATGGATATTTTATTGCTTGTGGTGTCATTAGATAAGAGGTAGATTCAGTCTGTTATTACAATACTGTCTCAGTAGTTTAACATGGGGTATTATTTCTATAATGCACGAAGTATTGTAATTTTGTTTTTTTAGTCGTTTGTTACGACATCTATTATAGTGTATTTATTTTGGGGACTAAACATGACGAAGGTTCAAATAATAGGTGTTAAGATTAACACATGAATATAAAGTGTATTTGAAATGATAATGTATTGTCACATTCACTTCCTCATTTTTTAGGAGGCTTTATAGACCAAGTAATAAATCATAGTAAAATTTACTCAGTTTAACCTACTAATGTAAATATTTATTAGTCTTTAATTATTTAATATATTAAAAGATGTAAATATATGTCCATTAATGTTACATCCTTGGCATAAGAAGCGTATTAAACTCGGCGAGTTAGGAAAATTCTAATAATTCATGTAAAATGGCCGTTTTAAGTCCCAGGATTCTATTGTGAATTACAAAGTAGCCAGTTTAAGCTTCCTCACCCAATATGTGACCACAGTGACGGCATGGGTCGTTGAAGGTGGCTAGAGGTTGGTTGTCTGCTCGTGCATTTCCTTTGATTGCCTGCTGGGGTACAGGCGTCTTCCATCCATTGCAGGTACAGTCGGGTGTCTAAAAAATTATCATACATACATATAGTTTTATTAAATTATGTTTAATTTTTCTAATGAAACCAAACTTATCTGTTTCTCACTTAAGATTTTTGACATATCACACTGATATAATTATCATGCTATTATTGGCTATCTTATTAAAACTTGACCCCGTGTGTATATTATACCACTTTGGCCAAAAATAAATATGAATATTTGTTTTTGTCCAAAGTGGCATAATATTATAGATGTTTGGGTGTTATTGGTTTGAATGAATTAATGATAACTTTATTTACTTGAATACAGGTAACATTAGAAGTATTTGAGTTGATTTGCTACTTAATTATGCTTAAATATTTTATCTTTAAAACTTATGTACATTTTTAATACAATGTCCATATACATACACAACAAGAATTTAACAAACTTAAACTGTTGCGAGCAGCAGCCATTAGTGCGAGGTGAGAGGCTGTGATACAAAGCACCCTAAAGAAGCCTCCAAAGAAAACTTCCAGATAAAGTCCCAACAATTGTTAGAAAGGACAAACACAGTAAGTTCGTTAAATTCACATTGTGTATGTATATAAACACAATGCTTAAATAGTTAAATGAATTTGAACTAATGGTATGCAGAGGCATCGAATTCAGAATAGAGAAAAGGTAAAGCAGATATAAGACACCAGCAAAGCCACATGCTAGAGCTAATTCTTCATCATCATATAATATCAGTCTTTAACTGTCCACTGCTAGACACAAGCCTCTTCCTTGGGGGGGTTATGACAATAGTTGCCACGCTTGGCAGACTGGCAACCGCAGTTGAGCTTGGTAGATGTTTTAAGAGAGATACTGCTGCCCATCTCTCGCCCTGACTTTACTATTTTACCTAGTTCTAGTATAGCCTTGTCTATTTAAAAAAGGTAATATTAGACAAATCATTCAATATTACTATTATAGTTAGGATTATAATGAAATATTATTATATTACAGACAAATAATTATATACTAAATTTTCAGTTATTTAGAAATCTAGACAAAACTCACCTGGCAAGCAGAGTATATAGCTAGTTTAAGAAGTTTTTTGTTGTGTGGCCAGTTGAATACTTGTTGCTTGCGTTGCTGTATGCGCTGTAAATTAGACTGTCTCGATGCCTGGCCCTCAGTACCAGTGGGGGTTGTGGCACTGCTGGATCCTGCCTCATCAGTGTTGGCACTGGATGTGGCTGTGACAAGATTATTCTTAATAATATTATGTGAAAAAGATTTTGAAAAAGAAGTTCTATCTCTTGGCATTTTAATTAACCACATCTTGATAGGTTATATATAAATAGTATTTGGGTCGAGAAGGAAATGTGTTACTTTTTATGTAAATTAAGTAACTTATTCAGTGGTACTAAAGGGTGACGTGTAATTGATACAGACAGATGTAAGCACATCAGCTAGAATGAATGCATTTGCTTGCAAGAGTTACTAGTGAATTTGTAATAAATAGGGGAGTTATTAGGAATATAACAAAAGTGAAGATAATTGGAGATATGTCATTAAATCTGTCATTATGGCATAAAATGTGCCATATGGCATAAAATATGCCATATGGCATTAAGTTCGCCATTTGTACAAAGTTTTGTGCAATAAAGAATAAATAAATCATAGTTAGGTTAGATTAGTCCGGCTAGCTGATGGGTAATTAATTTTAATTTCAATACACTTGGAAAAATATAAATACCTAGTTGAAAATATTAGCAAAGGTATAGTTAATCAAAATAATCAATTACTACATTAGTTTCGAAATACATACAGATATTTCAAATAAAACGCGCAGTAAACTCAGTTTTCTTTTTAAAAAGAAGTAAATATAAAACAAGAACAATGTGTATTTTAATGTTTTAGTTTTGGTTTTCAAATTATAGCGCCAAATTTCTAGTCATAACATCTGGCGTCATCAAACAGCTGTTTATAATTTATAGTAAATCTTAACTTTATAAATATTCGCATTATAAGCATCCGTAAACATTTATTTTTAATAGAGTGGTACTTATTTTTAATTTGTTTATTTACCTTCATGACCGTGCGTTTGGGACGAATCAGCTTCGTTACTTGTCATAGTGATATCATTTATATCTTCACTCATCTCACGGCAAATATAGTATTTATTTAGTTGCCGTAACAGTTTATAGTAATTATAATTAAGTTCGGAACTTTTTAAAAATACATTAGCACAACATATTTATTATATTCATGACAATTTTTTTTATAAAAATGCCACAACTGTAAAACAGATAAAATATAGAGCGTCGTCCAGTGTTGCCAATGTCCGATAATCAAAAGTAACCTGAGACTGCTTTAAAGGATTTATTTTAACCACAAAAGTAACGCATTCTAATGATTGTTATCAAAGTAACGCAATTTTTTTACATTAATCAATGACAATTATTAATTTGATCGATTATCGATTGGTGTTGTTAATAATTTATATTAATAATTCATTATTAAAAAATTAGTGGTCAGATAATAATAATAAATCATTCAGCTACAAAACAACAATATTAATTACAATTTTATACATTAAAATAATAATTATGTGGTAGCAGCTGAAATGGTCCCCACTCAGCGTTAGCTGCAGCGAGGTGCTACAGCGCTGATTTACAGTGTGGCCACCATTCGATAAGTAGCACTCGAAAAATAGGATTAAATTTATAATACACTGGACCCTATAAAAAATATCAACATTATATATGAATATAACAATATATTATTTATTGTAGAACATATATAAGGTATAATGAAGATATATAAAATAATTATGTATATTAAATAATGTTATTTAAATAATTGTATACTCTAAGTATGCATGCATCAGTTATAATTTATCTGCCAAATTTACAGTTTTTGTACTTGAATCATATGTGTTTTAAACGATATTTAAAACTGAAATGAACCTGACAACTCGTTTTTGTCATTTCGTGGCAGAATATTTAAAACTTCCACAAAATGCTACAGTCTCAGATGGACTGAGAAAGTGAATTACTAATAAATATGAAAATGAAAAATGAAATTTTCTCAATGAAACATTTTTTATACTAATAATAATAATAAGAGAAATAAAACTGTAGTAATAATACCAACCAATCGCAACACGCAAACCTGAACAAGCTGACTTCCGAAAGGGCTTTAACACATATGCACTACGGTAGATTTTACAGAAGACCGAAGACTATAATCTGCTACTATGTCTTTCTTTAATGATTCGATCGAAACATGGACGGTACTATATTCCCTCTAGTGGTATTAGATTTACTATAGATATATCGAAGTGTTGAAGTGTATGTCCAATAAGGCTACGACGTCTGTCCGAATACAGAGTCAAAGTACAGAACCCATTCTAATGCAGAAAGGTGACGTTATAATGACGAAACTTTTCACACCTGCATTGGAAGATGTTTTCTAATTTCTGGACTGAAAAAAGAAATTCGGTATGAACCACAATGGCAAATACATCATTTACTTTTTATTTATTGATCTCAACTTCAATTTATTGATGGCATTACTATGCCATCAATAAATTGAATCCTGTCCTCCTCTCCTCCTTTCCTGTCCAGATTTCTAAAAACGTTGTCCAATGCAGCTGTGAAGAATTTCGGGGATATGACGTCACCCTGTCTTACACCTTTCTGCGTTGAGATGGGTTTTGTACTCTGCTTCTGTTCTAGGACAGACATTGTAGTCTTACTGTACATACACTTCAACACTTCGATACACTTATAGTTAATCTCGACCGAATCAAAGGCTTTTTCATAGTTCACAAATACCAGACATAGAGGGAGATTATATTCTTCCGTCTTCTGTATAATCTGCTGTAGTGTATATATCATATATAGTCTATGGTGCTGAAGCCTTTTTAGAAGCCAGCTTGTCTCGCCGGCTGTATGTTATCGAGTTTGTGCGTAAGATAATTGGTCAAGACTCTAAAACAGTACGTAGACGCGATTCAGAAGAGATATCGTTCTTCAATAAGGCATTGTCATCCTTCTTGAACAGAACAGGACCACCGCATTTTTGCTCCACGTCTAGGGCATAATACTAATACGGATGACGAAATGAAAAAGTTTTTGAAGGACTACAAGTATTGATTTCCCACCTGCTCCCAGAAGCTTTGTTGTAATTCCGTCCTCCCCGGCGCCTTGATGTTTTTAAACTACTTGAGAGCAATTTCAATCTCCTGCATACTAACATCTGGGATATCATCGGTATAGTGTCGGATGAGTTTAGTTCTTTGGTCGTTATTCACATTGATATGCGATGTTAACGACTTCGTGTACGGCTGCCGATTGAACTTCTCAATCTCACTCAAAATCTCAGATATGGCGCCAATAATATCATTTCTGCCATATCAAAAATTCTGAGATGTTGGTCTTCAACTTTGTTAGTTGGCTTCGCCCAATAGCCAATCTCCATAATTTTGATGTAAAAACCTAAATTTATATTAATTACGTATCGGAGAGTCGAAGAAAATCTCCATGCAGGACGGGAAATTTGTGTCGCAAAACTACAGAAAATCAAACTTTTGTAACTATTAGGTTATATCAGCGTCGGACTGGCCATATAGTCGAAGTCGTATTTGCCAGTCGATACCCAACCAGCGTGAGCCCGCACGGGCCTGGCTTGCGGGGCTTGCAGTGCCGCTACCAACTGGTGCAACTCTCTCAGTCTCGGGCCCCGAGCTTGTCGTCAGCCACCCGGGCCTTTCCGGCCCAGTTCGACCCTGTATATGCTCTGTATATAGGTACGTAATCGTACGTGTGGATTTCAAAAGTAGGAATATCAATAAATTAGACCACTACTAAATTGGGATATCTAAATAAAATAAAATTCTACATTTTAAGTTAAACCTTTACATACGATTTAGTGTAGTAGTTTTTGCTTAATGCCAGATTAAATATACAGATAGATAGATAAATAGACAAAACATCTAAAAAATATTATTTTGGTATCTATTGATCTTATTAAAATTCTTCATATTATTATTTCTTAAATATTTCTGTCTACTCCCAAGGGACTAAACGTTAAGAATATCATTAAGAATTTCAATAAAAAAAGTTGACTGCAAGAAACAAGGATAACATTTGATCATTTATTATGTGTTTTTTATTTAAAATAGTATGATTAATAAAAAAGGCTTAGTTGTTAATTCATTTGATATTTAAAATAAGATCTCTTTTGAAACAGGCTAACTGGCTGTAAAAGTAATTAAGAACGCAGTTTCGTTTTGTTCTGAATATAAATTTACTCAAAAAGAAACAAAATGTTTTCGCCTAATTTAACATTGCTGGTTTTTTATTTCTCTTGTTGAAATTAGTTTCTATTACTTTTCATAAAAAAAATGGCTAAAAAATAAAGCTGTGATTCTTCGACAAAAAAGGTAATAGTATCATCGGTTAATGACATTCTAAAAATAAAATAAGTCAGTAGATCTAAAAAGTGCACTTATGAATGTAGTATTTTATTAGAAAATATATTCCATTGCAATAATAAAGGTGTCTAATATTACAGTCTTCTTGTATAGATACTAATTAAAATAATCTGCTTGGTTTTACATGAGATCTCAAATTTTTTCGTACTGGAAGAACTGCGTTGCGAGCCTTCGCATTTTTTTTTTTACATTTTATGTTTTTGATAGGATTTTCCTTATTTTTGGCATTGTCATGCCCGTCCTAATTTTCAAAGAAGTGGTCCGATTTGAATAATTTAAAGAGAAATTTACATAAACATAATCAACTTTGATTATAAAATTATTTAGGTCGATGAATATTAATATTTTGATAGAAATTTCATTATTTTTCAGTTGTACCCGTATTTTAATTGATTTATCATCACCATCATTTCAGCCGTTAACTGTCCACTGATGAATATAAGCTTTCGAGGAGTTTTGCTAGTAGTTGCCACGCTTAGCAGGCACGTTAGCAACCGCAGTTAGACTTTTATAGATGTTCTAAGAGGGACGCTACTGTTCATCGCTCTACCATTAAGTTCCTTTAGTCGCCTATTACGACACCCACAGAAAAGGAAGGGGTGGCCTATTCTTTACCGGGACCACACGGCCCTTCAATTGTATAATTTGAACAAAAAACAGTTATTCTTACTTAACTATATATTTTTTTGTTGTTAATATAAAAATGTAGGGGGGAAAGGGATTGTTAGTAATGGAGACTGAGAATCCCATTGCTAGCAATATACCCAACCAGGTTGACCTCCTCGCGGTTCTCCCTGGAAACTATCATGGTTAATTCCTGATGAATTCATCATGATGGGCTAACTGACCTGTTTTCATTCTCATCTATCACCCTTCACTGGTGCTCCGCCAGCGTATCCCGTTAGCGCAGGCGGGGTTACCATACCATTTTCACCCATCAAAAAAAATATATATAAAAATGTAGTAGGTACTTTATTTTATGTATCATTAATAAGTTTTCGCAGTGCATGACAAATAATGACTTTTATAAGTAAATTTTTGATATCTTGGATTACATTATTGTAATTTTCATAAGGGTCTCTAAGTTTATTTTGTATATAATATTTATCCTTAGATTATATCTAGTTATAGACTATGTTATTCGCTGATAATTCTATAGGTGAAAGAATTTGTAAAATCATTTAAATTGTTTTTAGTATTATTATAAACATACAAACAAAAAAAATTCTGCTTTATTATAATACTGGCTTTTTTTTAATGGGTGATAATGGTATGGTAACCCCGTCTGCGCTATTGGTATACACTGGCGGGGCACCAGTGAGGGATAACAGATGAAGATGAAAGTAAGTCAGTTAGCCCATCCTGACGAATTAAACTAGAATTAGCCACGATGATTTCCAGGGGGAACCACGTGGAGGTCGACCTGACAGGGTATATTGCTAGTAATGGGGCTATTTTGATCCCATTACTAACAATCCCTTTCCCTCAATACTGGCTTTTACCCGCAACTTCGTTCGCATGATCGGGATATGTTTACTGACCGGAGTCAAAAGTAGCCTATATCCTTCTTTATCCATATAAAACGGGTATACCAAATCTCGTTTACTTATAAGTTTAATAATAATCTTTTGAGCAATTTTGTTTTTTTTTTTTTTTATACCACTGAGGTGGCAATCAAGAATACGGCCCACCTGATTGTAAGTGGTTGTTTGACGATAAGACTGCACAATGAAGTATTTTTGTCGTCATGATATTTTTTAACGAGTAGCAGGGAAAAAGGTACCATGCGGCCCAAGGTCAAGTACAAATGAAGCATCTTCTGGGGTAGGCAAGAGACTATTCTGAGATGACCACGACACACTTCCCTTTAAATAAGTCGATGCCGATCCGATATATCACCTTCATCCATTCATATCTTCAATTGTATGTCTTCAACAAAATATATTAATTAATTAGTATTCGGCCGAATAGGATAGTAAAAGCCGGATAGGCCGAATACCCAATAATAACCAAATATTCGTTGTGAGTTAAATACATATTACATATTATGATTATATAATTAAATATTATATATAGATTTTTATGAACCTATGTTATAATATATATAGATATGATTGTGATAAAAAGCTGGTCAAGTGCGAGTCCGACTCGCGCAACAAGGGTTCTGTACAAAATCATTAAGTTTAATTTTTTTTTGTGACATAAGTATATAATTTCGATTTTTGGATTTTTTCTTTTACATTGCTTCTTGACAAATTTAATGATTCTAGATCAACGGAAAGCATTCTATAGGATTTGATTCCCTTTTCGAATGTCAAAATATGCGATATAAATGGAAAACAAGCGGCTGTATCTTTTGATTGCGTTGATTTAGAAGCTTGATTTTTTACTCTTTTAACAGATATTGATTTGAATTAATTTCAATTTGATATCTCCACGCGTTCCAAAATATATTAATATAAAAGTACCTAAAGGAATTACAATTGAGGGTAGTGGAATAGAAAAAACAAGAAAGTTCTCTCAAAATATATGTTTCATATATAGACATATCTCAATATATATATTTCAGGTATTCCGGAGGGAATGGGTTAGTAAGAAGAATAAGAAATAGAAAATGTTACAAAGGACACGTTGCTGTCTACGTTGACGTATAGGACGCCGCTTAAACTGAGATTTATACGAAGATATGTGGTCGTACTATTGGGTCGTATTTGCGGAGAGAGTTAGGTAAGACGGATAGAGCTATTAATGAAACGATCCAACTTATTAAGGAGGCTTTCATTAAGATCAGGATAACACATCCAGTATAATCAATAGTAGATTTAATGATAATTATAGAAATATATTAACGGATAAGTAATGTAAATAATATTAAGTATATAAGTAATAGATAGATAAGTATATAAGTATGTCGTATAGGGAGATCAAGGATATGGCCTGGGATAGAGCTGGCTGGAAGAAGATGCATGAATTAGTTGCACCGGCAAGAGGAAACTCTTAAATGAAAAAAAAAAAGTAATAGAAAAGTGTTAATTAAATTAGATAGGTAATCATTATTGTTTCTTCCATAAGAATAAAGATAGTATCTAAAGTTATTATAAATATAAAAAATTACAAGAAAATATAACAATGAGAAAACAATGGGCAGCCTTATCGCTAACAGCGATCTCTTCCAGGCAACCTTTGTGAATGGAGAGAAATAATTATAAATAGTTTCACTAGAGGCACGAAACTTTGTTCGTTTTTTTATATTTATATTATACATATCTTTATATGTATTCATATACAGGCGTCTAATGTGAAAATATAAGTGTACATTGTGAGTTATTGATACATACTAAAATAAATCCATATGTGCGTATAAATATAAATTACATATACATAGAAATATATATAAATTCATACATATACTCGTACACATACATACATATGCAGTTACAAAAATTTTAAAAAAATGTGAGTATGCTATAATCATTAGACACAAATTATAAATATGACTAGTTGTCATGCTCTGATAGAAGTCCTTAACTTTTAATAAATTTAAAAATTTGTTAATTATTATTTAAAAAACATTTTTTTTTATTATTTTTTATTTATTAAAAGGTATACACAACAGGTTACAATCAATAACATTATAAAAATTTATATAAAGATGATAGTTTGAACTAGACTGAGACCCAGACAGGTGTACACACAGCATGGTTAAAACAGTAGGCAAACAATGTTAAATTATAAATTATATAAAGAAAACATATGAATGTGGCATACCACACCATATCGGCAGTTTTTTTTATGATAGATGATAACCGTCCGTCTATTATAATATAATAATAAATAAATGGATAATTTTAGATATGATTAAATTATCTTAAATTAACCCTTATTGCAGAAGATAAAGGGGAAATGGATAGTTAGCAATAAAGTTTAACAGCTCCATTGCTAGCAATATACAATATCAAGTCGATCTCTACGCGACTCCTCGTGTTAACCATCGAGAATAACTCATTGAATTCCTCAGGATGGGCCAACTGAATTGCTTTCATCCTTACCTATTATTCCTGATGAAATATTTAAAATAATTATAAGTACCTTTGTATCCTATATGTGACTATCACAGGGTTATTGTACTGTATAAACTATGTTTTTAACTAACACAGTTTTCCAGAAATTATCGAAAAACCTTCAAAAACAAAATTAGTTACGTGGCCCAATTTTAACCACAAATAACGAAATCATAATCTTAATTAAAGTAATCATAATTATTGGATGTGTATTTCTTATAAGGAATAAAATAAATATATTTGTACATTATATCGATTTATCTCATACTTATATCATTCAAATAACTTTTCATCTAAAGGTAATAAACACCTAGTTACAGATTATTTTATGTACTCACGGGACATTCGGTATGCGAGTCTAACTCGCACTTAAATTTTTCTATAAGGACAGTTCAATCGAGTTTAAATAGTTAAGTACGAAAAACTCGTGAGTTTCGAATTCATGATAGGATCAGATCTGAAATATTTCAGTTCGCGCCGGGAACCGGTACAGGAATGTCCATTGCGACTCTCTCTAATACGGTCACGAAAATAGTTCGAGTTTTCTCAACTTCCATTGTATGTTATAGAAAACTTTTTGTTCGGAAACTCTTTGTAAAAATAATGATATAGTAAATAATATTTTAACAACCATGGATTCCCAACTTTTCTTACGAGAGAACGAGACATATGATGACTTTTATAATCGGTGCAATAACTTCTCTCATTTCGATTGTACCGAAGAGGAGATGTTATGGTGGCTTATGGGAGCTAGGCGGTTACCTCTGAAAGAGATAATTCCCATCAGCATTGTTCTCGTGGTGATATTCTTGACTGGAGTGGTGGGGAACGTTTGTGTTTGTGTGGTGATAGTCAGACATCCTGGACTCCACACAGCGACTAATTACTATCTATTCAGTTTGGCTATCAGTGATTTGCTGTTGCTTCTATTTGGTGAGTATATAAAATATAGAAATAGCTATTATAACAAAGAGAAATCAGTTCAATCGGATGTCGTCAAGTGGTTAAGATATATTTTGAAAATTCTGAACGTAAAGACCTTAATACAAACATTATAAGTCAAATAAAATCAAATAAGTAATAACAATAATAGCTAAACATTTTTTTAATAATAATTGCATTAATTTATTTATTATTTAAAACAGTATGAGTCTTTTTGTCTATGCGCAGTTCGCCAACTTATTCGTTTCGCCAATCGGCGCGATTCGTTAACTTGATTTTGTATACCGACGCGTTTTGCCAACTTTAGCTGTTCACTAACAGCGCAGTTTCTATACCATTGCATATTTTACAAAATCATATAAATACATTCAGCTACATACAAACAAATATTCTCCAGATTATAAATTCTAATGAAAGAGTCAAAGGCGTCTGTCGAATGTCGCTGTGTTTTTGTGACCATGAGTAATGATAATAAAATTAAAATTTCACCAAGTGCCAGCAATCACCGCCATCAATAGAATATTATTTATCTGTTATGATTTTTATTTGGCCCATGCTACGCAGATGACAGAGCAAACTCAGTGTTCATGTTTTATCCGTTAAAATAGGTCGTATAAAAGTCGCATACGTAATAATAATATTAAAAGTGATTCCATTTAAAAATGGAAACTCGTACTAAAGTAACGATTCTTTGCTATTCTATAGGACATTTATTTTAATGGGTGATAATGGAATGTTAACCCCGCCCGCGCTATCGCTATACACTGGCGGGGCATTAGTGAGGGAGGTTAGGTGACGATGAAAGCAGGTTAGTTAGCCCATCGTGACGAATTCCACAAGAATTAATCACGATGGTTTCCAGGGGAAACCGCGTGAAGGTCGACGTGGTAGGGTGTATTGTATTGCTAGTTAGATCCCATTACTAACAATCTCTTTCCCCTCTGTTCTATAGGACTGTCCATTGCTTTAGTAGCATCTAAATAACAACCTCAACTGAAGTTTAAATTTATCAAATGACAGCCTGCATGGTGTCACCTCTCGTTTCGAAAAACGTATAAAACATATTTTTTGTACTTTTAGATGTCACAATAACTGTTTACTTCAAATATTTAGTTGGAAACGGGCTGTAGGAAATGTGTGTACGAATTATTGAGCTTTTTTGCTCGTTTGCTTTCGCTAACAAAACAAGCACGTTGTTTGTTTAGTCTAAATTGACCGAGCCCTCAGGGGCGGTGTTCACTGTACAGAATACATGTACAGAATGTTTTTTTAAAGGATTATAATGTAACCCCATTTGCGCTAACAGTATATGGTGGCAGACTAGTGAAGGATGATAGGTAAGCATAAAACGACCAGAGGGAGTACTTTTACCGGAGGGAAACTTTGTACAAAAATCGATTGCTTGGGTACCTCTGTCCTATTTGTGTTTCTACTGTGAAGCAGTTGTGTTTGCATGACTGTGTTTCGGTTTGAAGGGTGGGATATGGCGTGAATTTACTGGGTACAGAGGAATAACACCTGAGTCCTCAGGGATGGCAACGCATGGGGGTATCATGGGCGAAACAGTATACTCTGTTATGTCCATGGTACTGCTCATGTCTAAAGGCGACGGTTATCACTTTCCATCAGGTGGGTCGTCAGCTTGTTTGCCATTCTAAGTTATATAAAATAAAAAGCAGGTCAGTTGATGAATCGTGGCGAATTTATTAAGAAATAGTCATGATAGATTCCAGGTGGTATTCCGTGTGGTATATTGCTAGCAAAGTGACTGTTGATACCCGTAAGGTAATAATCCTGTTCTTCCTGTATAGAATGTTGTAGGTTTACAGATGATTGGACTCCAGTAGTAGCAAGAGATCAAGGGTTGCCACTTTTTGCCATTACGAATATAATATAACTAATTATACTGAATTTATTTACGCGAAGTATAACCTAAATAATTTTTATTCAAATTATTATTATTTTCAGCCATTAACTATCCATTGCTGAACATAAGCCTTCCCCATAAGGGGAGATTAACCAGTAGTTGCCACGTTTGGCAGACGGCTTGGTAACCGCAGTTAGGTTTTTACAGTTTTAGTTATTATTCAAATAACGAATTCAAAGAACTGATCACAAACACTGATTTGTAGTCGAACTCCTTTGAAATGTCTCGATCGATTTTTTATGTATGAGAAGAGTCATAAAGTATATTTCATATATATATATATATATATTTGATTGTGTATATATATTAATATATATATATATATATATATATATATATATACATATATATACAATCCTTACTATTATTATTATTAAAATATTTAACTAATTACTATAATAAAAGTTATTTTTTGTTCCGGTCAGTAAACATTCCATTCATACGGACGAAGTCACGGGTAAAAGCTAGTATCATTGTATATTTTAAAATTTTACACAGAGCCTTATAATCTTGAATAAATCAGTCTCTAAATGCCTAATTATTATGCCATAATTCCTTTCTTCAAGATACCCGATTACGTCAAAATACAAATATATTTTTACAATTGAGTCTAGCTTTGCACGAGTATATAGAATTTTCGAAAAAAATATGTTGCTTATGTTGCTGGCTGATATACATTATTAGTTTTCTATTAGTGAAGCTAAGAGTTTTTGAAATCAGACCATTAAAAGCCATGCATATTTGATTGTGTTTAGTGTATAATAGGTTTTATTCAATAAATATTTTTTCGATGATATTACAATATTTATAAATATTGTAATCTTTTGGAGGAATATCTATTTCTTAATAAAACTTTTAAATTTGCTGAAAGTTCCAATGCATTTTTCGGAAATATTATTATTTATAAGGGAGAGCGAGAGATGGGAAGCCGCATCCTTCTTAAAACGTCTCTACAAGCCTAACTCTAGTTGCCAACTCACCTGCTAAGCGTGGCAACTACTGGCAAAACTCCTCTTATGGGGAAGGCTTATGTCCAGCAGTGGCAGTGGCGGATTTGCAGTCTTGGCCGCCGTAGGCCCCAGACCATGTAGTAAATACCAGCCACCTCTTTCTCAGCATCCATCATATTGAGTACATAATGAATTTACTTTTTTGTCAACTTTTATCGAAATTGATACAGAAATTTAGTTAACTATAATATCTGCTAGTTTGTAATATTTTCCGAGGTTTCTTTTAGTTATACGTAGTGTTAGTTTTAATGAAATTTTGTCACGATTGGACGCCCCTAATATCTGAGGGCCTACCATGAAATATTTTCCGAAATTTCGAAACCGAACGAAACACAAATTTGATGTTATAATTACATAATACTTACCGTTTAAAATCATTTAAAATATTAAAATATTATTCCTTTGGACTTTTATGGTAGGATTTTTGACGAACTAAATGTTAAGCTCCATTTACTGGGCCGTATTAGGTATGAACGAAAACACGAAATTGAGTCCGAAACTTCGGAATTTCATTTCATGGTAGGCCCCCTGGTCGCCCTAGGCCCGGGCAAATTTGCCACCGACCAGTAGACAGTTAACGGCTGAAATAATAATAATATTATAATTTAATTTTAATAATACTATTATTTATACAGATATCTAATACTTGAGACTATAGAATTTATTAGCGTAAATAAACTGCTGTAATGAAACAATAGCCTGTGCTGTTATAAAACTGGATGATATCCAGATAGCGCCGCTTTTTACAAGGGTAATAATTTGTTTTAAAGATCTACAATTAAGCCACTTTATAGGGTCATAGTTTGAAATGCCGACCAAATTTTTACTTTATGGTGGTAAAATATATAATCTATGCTATCACTATGCAACAGTTAACATACTCATTGCCTTAGGTTATGAAATATATAGATTAGCTATGTAAACGAGAGAAAATGTAATAACCTATATGTAAGAGCGAGATAGACAATAGGATATAAGACAATTGGACAGCGTGGCTAATTGCCATGTTTAGCAATAATACGCTCAGCATCAAAAGTGTGAGTGTTCATTATACATGTAACCAATTCTAAACCCATTTTGATAACTTTATTTGCAATCGATAGGATTTATTGACATTTTTGTGGAAGGACCTCTCAGTTTTCGATACATTTATACCCATTAACTATGCACCACTGTATGAGGGTATAAATGTGTTAAAAATTAAGTGATGGACCAAAAAAGTCCGCTTATTTCAGGACTATAGGGATATAGGGTATATATACAGTGAACGTTCTTTATAAGCAATTCATTTTAACCAATTTCATTAAAAAAAAATCTAATTGGGAAAAGTTGCTTATAGGAGAAAAAGGAGTATAAAAATACTTTGCCGTCTGGAAAATATTTTTACTTATTTTTTTTACTAACTACGCTGAGTAGAATAAATAAAACGATTTTATTCCCCTTTTTAGTATTCTATTTCTTATATCGTGTTAGACGCCACGTATTATTTGCAGTTTTTAGGATAAAAACATTTGCTTCAACATGCACCTTTCTTTAGAGCTACTGTTCTAAATTATGTTTCGGATAGAGGTACTCTTCTCTTTACATATTTTCTGATGGAATTCACAAGAGCTAGGGTGTTTACTAAATGTTATTAAGTCTAAACCAATATTGATTGTCGACTTAGGATCTATCCTGTTAAGACATGGTAACAAGGAAATAAAGAAGTAAATATATACTAAAAGTAAAGTCTTGTAAAGATATTCGAATGTTTGTTACTCAGTGTTGGTTAAACGAATTGGAATAAAATACAGACGGGTGGTATACAAATATACCATGCCATTCACGTGGGTAAAGCTATGGGATAAAATCGCGATTTGTTTTTTTTTTATAAAAATTATGGACGATGGATAAGATAAGATGTCCGTCGACTTTTGAAGTTGCACGTTTTCGATTGATAGAACAATTTAAAGGGATCGGATTGACTTTGTCTGGGAGATTGATGTAGCTATTTTTATATGTGTACGCAATACACATAAATACAAAATTTATATCCGGATTTCCGATAGTATTTT